TGGTTGGCGTTAACATCAGTGAAGACGTAAAGTGAACGCGTAGGGAATTACATTTAAGTAGAGTAAATTGTGAAAGTTGATGTTAGTGATTATAAATAGTAAAGTGCAGTATAATTGAATTGTGAATTACTGAGAAAATAAAGGACATTAGATAGAATCTTTATAACGAAAGAAACTGCAAATTAAGTTGGCGAGTTTTTATTTAACAATCCAGAGATCGTACCCGAAGGATCTAGAAAATAATCGAGGGAATTTAGTAAAATCGTAACAATAATATATACCGATCCTCGCGCACTGGAATGTGCTTTAGTTATCGGCATCTCATTTTCATCTGTCATTCGTATTTGACATTTTCTAAACTTTGTCATCCACATAACTAATATACTTAAATTGGAGCGTTCGGTATAGCGTTTTCAGACGCGAATGAATGGAAACGCGCGCTTTCCTAAAATAAGTGCGCTAACGTTTTGGCGTTTTCTCTTTCTCAAGTTCGTATCATTTTAATAACATTTAATAAATTAATTGCATTTTCAATATTTCAAACAAGACACTATAAACTTAAACGGTTGGAAAAAATATGCCACAACTGGTTGAATTAATTTTTCAATGAATATTTAACTTTTTATTTGCGAAACGCAATCTATTTGACCTATGTGCTTATTACCCTTCGTCAGTTTTTTATCGTTTCTTTCACATCCTATAACGCGCTGTCAAAATTGAAAATTTCATTTCCTCAAGACTGAGGCGTTTTCGTGGGATGTCCCATGTTTTCCTTGCATTTTGAATCGCCTTCAGGTACACCTTTGCTGATGATGACTTCTAGACATTGTCTCAACACAGTTTCTCTTCGAAGTTTTATTAGTGATTTGAATTTATTTAATATCCGAACTGGGATGAGTCCATCATTTTGTGTCTTTGCCAGGATTTTGCCAATATGTACATCCGGTGTTGAATTTTGTTCAGCCCAAACAACTACTTCTGACTTTGATGGAATCTAGTCGTTATCTTATCATAAAATAACAAATTTATAATTCAATGCTTTTGAGATTTATAAAATTATAATTTTCAAAGAGGTTTTTAAAGCGAAGTATACATATTGTTACGATTTTACTAAATCACCCTCGATTATTTTCTAGATCCTTCGGGTACGATCTCTGGATTGTTAAATAAAAACTCGCCAACTTAATTTGCAGTCTCTTTCGTTATAAAGAATTAACCTAATGTTCTTTATTTTCTCAGTAATTCACAATTCAATTATACTGCACTTTACTATTTATAATCACTAACATCAACTTTCACAATTTACTCTACTTAAATGTAATTCCCAACGCGTTCACTTTACGACTTCACTGATGTTAACGCCAACCAGTTCGTTTTGTCACTAACTTGACTTGCAGCTGAGTGTCGCCTTTATATAGCAGTCGGCTGCTCGCAGACGAAAGCGTAGAAGCATCGATTTGTTCGCTATGGAAGGTTCTTGTTTTATCGTTTCTAGAACGTACTAGTTATCGGCTTCTCTCTTTCATCTGACATTCGCCTCGCATTTTCGCAACAATATAATGAAAATGATATGTTGTTACACGTTCTATTTGATGATGTAACTTCCGGGACCACAGTTACTATTCGCTCATATCCGTTCACATATCTACCAATTTGCAAGACAGAGATTAGGGACATTCGATTGTAGGAGCTAGCGCTCGCTCCTCTTGGCTGTCTTGTTTTAGTTTAATGACTGAGGTAATGATGGCTCTGCTTCCTCAGATTAACGTTTTCGCCATAACAACAGACTTTCCACAAGTGAGGCACTTCCCAGACCTGATGCTTTTAGCTATTACTTTCTAAATAAACATGCATGTCGCTTGATAAAAAGTCAAAGTGAAACCTTATTTTCCACAAACAATGCGGTGCCGTCGTCTAGAACACACACCAAGAATTCAAAGTATTCCACGGAGCACCCTCTCGCTCCACAAATTCCGAAGAGCCATAGAGCTCAATAAATTCCTAACGCAACAAATGGAGTCCGGAACTCACCTCTGGTATCCTTAAAAAAGACACTACCTGCGAAGGATACCCTACCTTCACACCCACCAACCGACTGCATTCCCTTCTGATAAAGATTGTCCCAGACGGGAAAGTAAAAGGGATTGTAGTGGCTCACTGAAATCATAAACTTCATTATTGTATTTATATCCTTTTCAAATTCCTGTATTTCCCAGTAACAAATATGGCCCTTCTTCCTTCAACCCGTAACATTCATGAGTCGTCTACAAGCACTGCTTAAAAATCTTGACACTGACAAAATCACCGTCTGCAGAAATGAAGCAAATCGGTATCGTGCTACAAAATTTCCTGCTCGCCTATTAGCCTTCCCGCATGCATCTTATCACATTTCGTTCAAGCAAACGCGTTAAACGCACACAATCTTAATAACTCGCATGTTCCTCCTTCTTTCACCATGTCACCAACAAACGTCTTTTTCGTGACGATCACAAAATTTCAGAAAAGTCAGAACTGAAGTTAGTTTAAATTTGTAGACATAACAACAAGTTGAACAAGGATCAAGTGGGAAGCTCAGTCCAAAGAGCAAAGTAGAGGAGAGCGTGGGGGCACAAAGAAGAAAGGACGGCTCCCTTCAGGATATTCATTCTGTCAGGTGTATATACTACGTATGCTTGCTTTGATATATTTATGTATGTGTCCAGTTGTTTTGCGCGCATATTCAGACGATTTTTTGCAATTCAATCGGCTCATTTTTGTTTTAAATGAAATTTCGTTTCGCCGTCATAATTGTCCCACTGTGCTACGAAAATCACGAGACGTTTGAAGGAAGGTGAACTCCGGTTTTGAAACGCACTATTCACCTCAACAAAATTTTTCAAATAGGTTCATAGTTCTTTTTCCTCTTGGTATATTGTCACAGGGGTAGGTACCCTGTCAATAGCCCCATAAGAATGCTGAATTCTATTTTTCTTAATGCAAGTAACAGTTTAATGTGTCTATTATCCACGCAACCCCAAAATTATTTAGTGCTTCCAATGTTAGAAGAGTTTGTTGCGTACTCGCCGCAACAAAAACTTCTTTTAGGTTTATCTGTTCATTTACTTTATTTTTACTAACATTGCTTTCATTACAAGCGTTAGCAGTGATGTCAGTCTGATAGTAGTTATTTAATTCGAAGTCATTAAATAATGGCTAGGTTGCATTCGGTGTCACGAGGACAAAGAAACACAAACGAAGGATGTAGAGAAGGAAGAAACTGTTTTTCCTGCGAAGCATTCAGAGCAGTCATCAAGACTGCCAGCTCATCTCAGAACATTGATATGAACATGCTATTGGCTACAATTCACAAATGTATGTCAACATTGCAACACACCTGCAAGACCAGCAACCGCGTATTTAACCGCAGCACATAAAGCTTAGAAATTACTTGTCCAAAACTGGCAGAACTCAAAGAGAGACAGAATAAAATCGAAGACCGTCTAGATAAAATATGAACTGTACAATCCCTTTCTAGATCTTTAAGTTCCAGTTCGAAAGGCGGTTTCCAAATAACTGGAGTGTAGTGGATATATACGAAGCATTAATGCGAGCCTTAAAATAACGAAATGTACCAGTTTTAGCCAAAAAATCGTTACCAAAAATCCCATGAATGTTTTCAAAAAATCGCTTTCGGAACTGAGAAACTGGCTAACTCAGCTATTGGAGATTCGTCTGGTGAGCTCCTCGATAGATTAAAACTGCAAACTCGTTACAATCGGTGTTTGAAGTGAGATTGTTAAATAAATACGAAGGAAAATAATCGAAAAGGATCAATATTCAGGAACAGGAAACCAGACGAATGGAAATATTATTATTTTTATTTTTATTATATAATTATTAAAATATATTAAGTTTAAAGATATGCCTACCATGCGATTTCACAAATGAATGCCGAGGACATTTAAGAAAAGATGGAAGAGAATCATGCCCTCATTTTCACCACCAGACAAATATTCAAGAGCAATCGTCTCCAGAATCGATCAACTCTTCTGAAAATAAACGACTTCAGCACAACAACAGCAGAAATGAAGCGGTGGATATTGATGTTGAAATATTGATTTGAACCGGGAGTGTTCAACTACACAGCACTTATTCTGCCTTTTGCCAACAGTCGCATCAAATGGTCCAAAAGAAAGATTTATAAGAGAAAGTTGCCAGACCTCTGTAAGCAACTTGCAACTCCTTTGACTAATTTAGTCATGATTCCCTCCAATGCTAGTAATTCATGAACAGAAAATCGCAGCAACTGCGTCAACGCTAGGCGTTCATGATCTTGCACAGGCTAGGGCTACTACAGCGGACAACACAATCACACTCTAACCTGACAATACCAAAGGTCTCTGTACTAAAGGCGTCGGCCACCGCGTTATGTAGCAATGGTCAGCAGTTGACGAGAAATGAAACACTGCCGAGCATATATTGATTGATGGGCCAAATGTTACCCATATAGCTCAGTGTTCGCGGGAAAGGCCACACTTGCACAGCTTCATTGTAGCCGATGGCAAACCAAGGTGCCAATCATTAAGTTGAATTAAAAGCTTTGGACTGACATGCGTATACTCCTGGAACGGAAGCTTATCTATGTATTTATCCTGGCGACGTAAGTTATTGCTTAAACTCTGATATGGCAGCTGTAAGTTTGGCATACAATACACATTCCACACCTTGTGCCTCCTTTGAGCACCGGCTTCACCTATGATTACATCGACTAAGACGGTTGGCTCTTTAGCAGCAGGTCCTCCGAACTATTGTAAGTTCACTTTTCGACATCGGCAATTGCGTGAACCATGCTCGACGTTGAGGCAAATAAAACCGAGGCGACATTGGTTTGATTCTTCTCTTTGAAACAGTTAACTGGTTGAACTACTTACAGTCAGCTGGCTTGTGTTGGCCTTGACATATGGGGCGAACTGAATGCCGTTGTGATTTAACAGCACTTATAACAACACGGCGCTGTACATATTCCGTAGAGTATTCGTTAAAGTGTTTCACAGTTGCGTATGGTTGTGTTGATGCCGGTTCTACACGCTTGCTCATGGTTAACTTATCAACAAGCTCGTTCAGAAGCGTCGGATTCGCATGCTGCGCTCCATTTCCATTTTGGGGAAATCTCTCGTATCTGAGCAAGTGCTTCTATAGCATGCGTTGAATTTGACGACTCCTTTATCTTCTGCTGGGAAACTTTCAGGTTGCTTTCGAGCAATGCGATGCGTTTCTTTATTTCTTGAAACATTACTACCTTTCTCCGGCTGGCGAGTAATTGGCAGCATCTGCTGTACCGTCAATATTGAATGATATCTTTTGTTGCTAGGCTACTGGAGTAGGTGTAGTACTCTTTCGCGGTGGTCAACGCGTAGTCATATTGAAGAATAAGAGTTAACAATGGCAAAAATATTTGTTCATGTGTCTTGGCACGATACGAGCAGCTAGTTCTCTAACGAAACGGCAGGTTTTCAGAAACGGATAATTTGGATATGTACGTATGCTAAAATCGTGTATCAAACACAGTGAGCAGATCGATACTCGTTCCTTGCTAAACTGCTAAAATGGTCGTACGAAATTTTTTAAATTTCAATTTTGTTTGTCCAACTTTCTTTAGTATTTGCTCGAGCTCAAGCTCGAGTTGCTCTAGCTGAAGCTCGAATATTTTCGAGCAATGAGCAATGAACAGTACTTGTTGCTCATGCGCGAGCAACTCGAAAATGTTCGAATAAAATTTTGTGCTCTTACTTGCCCAAACGAACAAAAAACGTCGAATCCTCCTTTCTAATACTACTTTTGCCTGCTAATAAGAGATGATTCTGCGAAATAAAGATGTAATCGTCAACACGCTTTCGAATTTAACGCAAATTAAATTGAACATATTATTTGGGTTAATTCCTTTGGTTGAACAAATCATTTAGTTTATTTCTAAAAAATGTGCAAAGTTAGGGGCAAATACAAAGTTACGAAAAATAGCTACTACCGCGTATGTCCTTCGCTATACCATTTGGTCGCCGACTAAATAAACCAAATAGTATGTGCGCAAATGCGAATAAATGAATAAACGATCGGCATACTGCGTAAAGTATGAATAACTTCTCCACAAGTAATGTTACAGTTGATTTAACACATACGTGGTGTGATCAGAAAATAACCCATTATTTTCAAATTTCGATTCGATTTTCTACTATTAGAAAAAATGGATCAAAGAAACTGTATTGAGTTTTGTTTAAGCTTTGGTTTAAGTGTCATAGACATACACCCATTATTCGTCACCAGATATGACCTTTTTGAGGTAATCTGGACCGTCATTGACGATGTTAACATCTCGAATTGGCACTATTTAAAAATGTTCTAAAAATGTGGATTTTTAGAGCACTCTCACGAGGTAAAGAGTTTCGTCTTATTTTATCTTTCACTGAAAGAGAGAAAACTTCAGTGAAGCCACTCCAACATATTCACTTTAAGAATTCCCTGAAGTCTAATTGTAGCGTCTGTTCACAGATGCGGGCGACGATATTGAAGCCATTGGCTCGCTTAGTAATGTGCAACCCCGCGAGGTTGTGCGCTCTAATGAAAAGCCATACAATGACTCGGATGAGATACCCTTCTTTTGATTACGATCACTGCAAACTTATCAAAGATCCCGATTTAAAGGCTGGACTTCGTACTTTATAACAGCTGAAGTCATTATCGACCGGTCTCCTCCTCCAATATGTGCTTCTGTTTCTGTTTTTGGGGTGTATATATTTCATGTCAGAAACACACTCGGAGACGTTGACATTCCTTGTAGAGGGGCGACCGCCATTAGAAAATTTAACATACTTATTTTCATTTAAATTAATTTTCTATAATTTTTGGATGTTTTGAAGCATGGCCACCCGAATGGTAGTACACAATGCTTACCACTCGGCTGCCGCGGTCGTGTTCATAGTTTGTAATGAGCAACTTAAGGTGAAAATCAGTTGTAGGGTGTTTACGACATTACCACGATAAGACGTACAAGTGGGGCTCGTCGGTTAATTACAGCTCTTTTAAGTGAAACAATTTTTTTTAACGAAATCTTTAATGCAGAACTCTCAGTTAGTTTGCTTGTATATTTATTTTTAATTTTTATTGATTAGTTTATTGATAGGCAACGCCCGTCTAGCCAAGTTTTGTGTGTTTATTATTAAAGTACCAGCAGACTTCCTGTATATAATAAATGTAACTGCAATTGATAAGAATTTTTAAACAACATATTTCTGAGCGAAAAATTTATATGTTTGTTAATTGAAGATCTACCAATCCAGAAATTAAAAAAAAACACTAGCTTTTTCTAAGGTCAATCCATTATGCTTCTTTCCGTACTTAGAGTTTCATCCGTGCACCAAGGCGATGTTAGTTTAATGTGAATCAGGCTTAAATAATTTTTTTTAGGTATCATGGGGACGTACCATTAATTGATCATCTGGAAAAAGTAGTAGTGCTCGATATTTATTATTGAATAAAATTGATTTTTATAATGATATCCCTAGTAACTAAATTACGACTTGTAAACACGAATATTCTGTCTAAAAATGTGAACTGGCAAGTTTTTTAAATAATATATACCTAACTATTATTTAATACTTATAAATAGCTTCTTTCGCCATACGAGATTAAAGCACTCCCAGAGCAATATATCGGTTGGAAAGAAGAAGCGTGGTTCTTTTGTAAAAACAGACAATATACCGGCCGAATATGAACTTATTTATCGTGCTCCAATGGGAACATATATTTCCATTGCTAAGAACATATCTACAATGACGGCAATTATAATATGCACTGGTGCAGCTTATACAGCTACTAATGAATATAAGCTACCGAAGCAGCGTTTTGAGTATATCGGTTTGGTATCGCAGCCGGATGACTTTTGGTACTTCGCAGTCGGTTTTATTGCAATAACGATGATAATAAGGATATTTGTCTCGAAGTACCCTCTCCGCATTTATCATTCGAACGGAAGGTGAGTTCATGAAAAAAAATCAAATTAAGTTATTTAATTTCTGATTGCAGATATATTGCTGTATACGACTCTCAATTACCTTACCTATCGTCTAAACATGTGTTTTCCAAAGGTGAGGTAAAAGAAGTAATAAGCAGATTTAATCCTTGGAACAACGCAACGTACCGTTTAGGCAATAGAACGTCCTTATTATTAAGCCAATATTTTAGAACACCTGCGGACTACAACCACATGTTGGGTTACAATTAATACCGAATTGTGAACAATGTTACAAAAAAAGGTGGAAATTAATAGCCAAATTTTACACCCGATCATTACATAAGTGTTCTGAAAATTTAGTTTGTCAAACGCATGTTAAATGAATGATAATGAAATCCAATGTAAGGAAAATTTAGAACAATCTTTATTCATACACGTATTGCAATCCAAAGTTCATCTTTCATACTGCGAAATTTCTTTAAATGCTGTCAATAAAAGAAGAATGCAAACCTTAGAATCAAATTAAGGGAGCATTGAAGAAATCAATAAGTTACAATGTTTTTATTATTTTCCACCCAATATTGAGACGAACGTATATTATACTCGCAAGCCTCAATTTGTGATCTCCAAGAGTCAGTTACTAAAGTTTATACATTCCTTAATATAGATTTCAGTATCTGAAGAATGAAGGTTACCATTTTTAACGAAAATTATAATTCTACAGCGAATAGGAATAATAAACCTAGTATATTCTTATTTATATTTATTGTGTAACAGATGGAAAATAATGGTACATCCAAGTATAAGTAGTTGAACGAGAAAAAGCAAAATAAAAAAATATTTGACAATATTTTTTTTATTTATTTACTTAACAAAGCCAAATTTATTAAATAAATCTAATTTTTATCCATCTTCAAAATTAGATTTATAATAATAGTCTTCAAGTCCATTACAAAAATTTTTAGAAGGTATAAAAGGTATCGTTTATTAGAAGTTCATAAATGTACTATTTTTTACTCCTATCTATACTTTTATCCAAAATCCTCCACAATGACAGTATAACCATCGTTGACACCATGCTTTCATTGCTGCAGTCTTAGTAACGTTTTGCAAACTGTTAACTAATCCACATCTGATGCAACGACGGAGGGAGCTGGCTTTTGCACCCAAATGTAGATTACTCACACCATCTTTTGTGTCGCTAGCAAACACTACTTCCTCGTAGTTGATATCCTTCAGCCAACTGGGTTCCATCGACGCCAGAAAGATAAACGGATACGATTTATACAGCGACAAGTGATTATTTAATAACGTTGCGGGATTACTAAACTGTTTTTGAGGAATTAAAACCTGTGTAGATAAAAGGCTACATTCATCTAATAAAAAGTCGTCAGGTTCAGCAGTATTTTGGCCAAGGCGTGTTAGAAGGCGGAATAAAGTTGCGAGAACATCAATATTTTCTACTGATTTAGTATATGTCGGTAAGCATTGTGGATTTAACAAACCCCATATCCGAGTCATTACCAATAACTCTCTAATACTGCTTATGGCTACGCTGTCTCTGCTTATGTCATAACCTTGTTTTTTACTCATCTTTGCTTTTATAACTTCATTAGGAAGTTTTTTCAAAATATTTAATGCTAGATCAGATACCCATTGTATCAGTTGCTGTAAACTTTGTAATGTTAACGGTTCAACAGCAAAATCTTTACCATCTAAACTGAACAGCACTTTGTCAATATCAGCAGATGGATCTGCCAAAATCATGGCTAAATTATCTCCAGGTCCTTTGTCTTGACAGCTAAGATCTGCCGGCCTTAGCAAACTTTTAAATGTAATAGATATGGTATGTAAAATTATTAAATTATCGAAATCTTGTTGTCTTGATTGTATTCTACACATATTGCTCTTAAGACATAAGAAATTTGAATAGTAAAAGTGTCGTGTTATTGTGGACTGCTTTGTAAAGTTTTCCGTTAGTTTTTCAATGAGTAAATCTAAATTATTTAGGTTCAGCATTAGTACATCGCTTGCATCGACACCTGTAATTATACAATATTCCAAAAGCGAAGTTTGCAAAGATAATGTGTTTAGTTTATAATTTTTATCTGACATTGGATTAGTTACTTGCATGGCATACATCTGACCACAGTTATCAAAGAGTACAAGTATTTGATTCATATGTGTTATATCAGCAGAGACAAATTTATTATTATTACAACGATCATCAGTTATTAAACGATCAGCAATCGTCAATGCTACCTTTTTCATACCAGGTTCAACAATTTGTATCGTATTATCCTTCAATGTGACATATATTTGTGACATTTGTGTTAATAGTTTGCTGCTGCAAATACCAGTAATTCCAACTAAAAAATTCACTTTTGCTATATTCTCCCATGTTTCACTTTGAACAAAATCTCCTTTATTTTTTTGAAGTAATTTATGTACTGCCTGATGTTTTTTGCTTAGATGCCATTGCTCAAGTAAACTTCCATCTATCGTATTATATCCAATATACAAAACGTCTTCCTTATTCGAAGCGATCCAACCAATTTGTGAAATTTGCTTGTAATTTGTAGCATTAAAAAAAATGCTTGGAAGTGCTTCGCACTTTATAAATAAGTTGTCATTATCCAAATTTATTCCCACTTTAAAGCAATAAATAATTTTTGGTCTGCAACTATAGTTCACGGCAACATTAAGATGGCCATTGGGGCAATGAGACATGCTGCAAAGCGATATATAAAATCGTGATAGGCCCAAGCTCTGGGTAACAGGTTTTAATTCGACGGCGGGACATAATGAGTCACTGTACTTTGAATTTGGTATTATAAAAGATCCTACTAATCCGGAAGCCGTAATTATCACCACTCCTTCAGCTGGAGCACTCCCGAAATGCTCCACGGTTGGTCGATGCTCCAAGCGCTCAAATTTATCTGCATATGTTGGTAAGTCCTTTTTTTGTGAATGAAAATATATACTTTTTCCATTATGGAAGAACTTTCCAGTTATAATATCTTCACCAGGAATATTTGCTTTATATTGCAGATGCCATGAATTCAAAACTTTGTCTGCGGACCATATCTCTATATTTCCATTATTATATACCGCTAGTAAAAATTCTCCATTGCTATTCCATTCCAAAGCTCTCAGAACTTTTTTTGAGCTTGTTATATTATGCAATTGCCAAGGTGAAATGAGATCGCAAACAAAAATCTGGCTACCAGCTTCCAACTCTTCCAGAACACTAAATGCAATGATGTTCTTTGATGAAATGCTGCTGATTACACTTTTGGTAGAGCTGGGGGAGGACTCTCCTTGCACTTTGTAAATAATTGTCATATTTTGTAGATAAAATGAAAATCTTGCAAGTCAAAAACACTAAAAAAAAGAGTCACATCTGCCGCAAAACAAAATGTTTGTATTTATACAAATTTAGATGAGAAGAAAAAATCGATACCAACAAAAAAACGATATACACTCAAATAACTCTATGTTCACATCACATTGTTTTCGTAGGGTCTTATGATAAAAACTCTTCTTGTTAACATACCTGTTTCAGTTCGATCACGACTTATAATTTGCTAATTATTGTTCCAAGAAAATATCTACAACATATTGTGGGAAACCAACTTCCAGAAATATTCACTTGTATTCTAAAAATAAGAAAATAATATTCAAAACAAGCATATGATAGTTACATGCCATATGTATGGTACTGTGTGGGGGAAGCTGCTGTTGGTCCTGTCAAGTGTAAATTCATTAAAAAGTCATTTCACACAGAGTAACATGTAATGTGACAGCCCTCCATAAACAGATTGGCATCTATGGTAGGATTCTCTTATGTATTACTTTCTTTTCACACGCGTGAATTCTTGTTTGAAGTCAGCTGGTGCGTACACGAGGGAGGTTAGAAGCAAGGGGAAGGATACAGATAACTCAGTACAGGCAAGTCTTTCAATTCTTCTAGCCTTGTTATTAACGTTTTCGTTGCGTTCACAGTTTTTTTCCCATTTATTTTCATTTTAGTTTTCTCTATTCGGTGTCAAAACCAGCGAGTAGACAAATAGAATTTAATTTTGGTTTTAAGTTAAATTGTGAAAAATTGTTATCAATACATCAATAAAGATATAAGCTCTTAATTTTAGTAAAGTAATCAGTCCTCCTTCAATTTCCAAAATGAAGCAAAGAAGGAAAAACTTGTATTCAATAAAAATTGACATATGTGAAAGCAAATTGAAAACTCAAAAAAGAATAAAAAAAATGCTTTCATGACATGTAGAAATTTACTTAGAGTCGTAGAAAATTCTTTCCACAGGAAGGCAACTCAGTTTCTTGGTAGCCAACTAAAGACGGAAAATATCAGCTCAATCTACAAACATTAATGTAATTCAATGTGGATATCTATGGGACAATCGTCCGTAGACCGTTGTACCCATCGCGTAACGTAATCAAATCGTTCGAACACAGCATTTGTACATTATCTCAGAATTTTGGAGGTAAGTTTTAAGCATTGTCGATTTAAAATATTTGTGGGCAAGCGAGATATATTTAGCGCAACATTTGTAAAATTCAGCCTGCTTGACGATCTTGCAAGAAGGCTTCCGATCATTTGAGCCAACATATGTCAGGAATGCATGACGACATATCCCGTCAGCACGTAGAACGATTTTCCCATAACTTTCTTGGGGCCGAAATGACAAAAATCTGTATACGTGTACGTCATTTTCTCTGCGTTTCTTTGTGTATTTTTGTCATTCTTGTCGGACAAACAGAACACAGCTGAGCGACAGCATTAATGTCAGCTTTGACATCTAAGTGGAAAAAAATAATGTGACAATAATAATGTTAGTAATATCTAAACGCAGTTGTACCTTGCACGGTTTTATGGAATATTTTTATATCTGCTACTGCAGCAAAATGAGTGAACTTAAATAAACAAATGCTAAAAGCAATGAAAAATGAAGTACTTAATTAATCCAAAATATATTATTACCATATCTTGTACAGGATCCTGATCAAGTATTTTACACTTCTATCTACTGCGGAGAAAACAATAAAAAATGGTGTTCTAATCGAAAATAAGAACCAAAAAATCGGATAATCCGTTCAACTGCATTCTTCTTCAATTTGTATGTGCTCAGAAGAGAAATATAAACAAAAAAAAATGTGCATATGTGTTAGTGGTGCCCGAAATCGTGTGAGTGTATAGGTGATCCCATTAGCCCGTTCTTGCAGGGGAATCTTTACATTTTCTGATATCTTCGCCACAGTATCTGAATAACGGCAAAGCTATTAAAATAATATATTTGTCACCAAAACAAAATTGATTTAAAATTAAAATAATATTAACAGTTTATATGAATGATATACTTACAAAATAAGTGCAAAAATATAATTTTATTAAAGTAAATTTAATGATATCAACGATTCAATTCAAGGTTCAAGGTTAAGGAACTCATTAAATGAGAATTTGGCGGCAGTGGAGCTGAGTTCAAACGCCCGCAAACCCGCACTGGCTCGCTTTGAAGAATTGCAAATAGGAATTTTGATTATGATGCCTTCTTAAGCTTCCGGTAGCGATGACAATGCACAAAATGATATATAATTTTATAATAGTAGCATTTAGAAGGAAAAAATAAAGCTCTTAATTGGTTTGTATTTCAACAGAATTGAATAAACACTCTAATAATATTGAGTTCATATGGTTTAAAAAAAAAAAGAAATTGAAACTAATTTTTGTATCTCGTCGTCTATTTTAGAGAGGAATTAGAAAAACTTATTAGTATTTTTGTCATTTGACGGCTATAAAGCATGTTGAATTTTATCATTATTGAACTACAATAAATCTTGAATACATTTAATTAATATAAAATGATATATAATTGTCCAATTTTATTAAAGCACTTAAATTTTACTGATATTTTTCAACGAAAACAGCTAGTGTTTAAAGTCACTATTTGGCCATTGAAGTTAATAAAGTTCGGCACAAAAATATAAGTACAAGAAGCACAACCCGCAAAGCAATTCTCAGCTTTAATGGCTTGTTAGAGGTGGACCATAAATTTGAAAATGATTCTTTGGAAAAAAATTTCTATATTCATGCTGTAAAGGAAACTACTTATTTTATATAATTTACAATTTTAATTAATTAATAAAAAATAAAAGTTTTTATGTAGCGTAGTGCAAACATATTGTTATATACATACTGAGAAGTAACTAACTGATATATATTTGTGTGGTATATTATCACTGATAAGTCATGATATTATTTGTTTGCTTTAAATAGCACTGTTTCGGTATCACAGAAGGCATTTCGCATTTCCAGTACGGTCACTGACGGTCATAGGTGTTCATATATTTCAACGATCGGTGAAGTTTTCTCCGCGTGAAAGTTCTCTTGATTTGTGTCAAGTGCTTATATTAACCAGATTTGTAAACCGGCATCTAAAATAAAATATGTCCGATCTACCCGCAACTCTACAACAGCTTTTCAGGTGAATATCATGTATATGTGTGTAGTTAATAATCTATGTCTATCTGTGATTTAAGCCAAATTGCTCGATTCTTATCTTAAACTCTTATATATATTTACATATGTATGTATATAAACAAACACATATCAACCAGAGTGAGCGTTGATACATCTACATATAGTCTACATTGGAGATAGTATTTTTTATTTATTTTAGATTCTAAAGTAAACTGATGTATTTTTCTGAAATTAATAATGAAGTACACGGTTAAGAGAAAGTTTAAGGGAACGGGATTTAATTTTTTTTAATTTTTCTCTCATTAAGGTATTTTTTTACAGCGGTAATATGTTTACACAAAACGAATAAATAAATGATGTTAGAAATTATCTGAGATTGAGGAAGATATATAAGGATTTTGTGTTATGTTTTATGAAATGTTCAGTATTGGTAGTACGAGGTCTACAATTACCAAAAATATCAATTTTATCGCTCGCAAATTTATAGCTTTAAACTTATAAGCATTTAAAGTGACACTTTTTATGCAGAGAACCTGTTTCTGTTTTACTTAAAAACACAGGGTGAGTCAAAACGTCAGTTGTAAAACAACCTTACATACATACACCAAAAAATCTACAAATTAACAATAAATATGCAGAAAAATAAAAAAGGAATACGAATTTAATATTTACAATTATTTTTTTCTCATTTTAAGTATCTTAATATAATTGGCACTTGGCATTTTTAATTTATTACATGTGCAATATAATATTCAACATAGGACGAGTTCCAAAACGTCAAAATACTTTGTAATATTGCGGTAGCGAAACCGCATCATAACAATACAATTCTGCATTGAATAAATTTGCCTTGCAATAATACTTTGCAAACTCTTAACATTTTGTGATGCTTTTCGTGCAAATAAGTTGCTTTTCGGTGAAATGGCTGAAATATATAACAAGTCAAGAAAATAAGTAATATAATGTTTAAAAAACATAATTTGCGCAAAAAACTTGCTTTCCGACGTCGGCGACGTCGATTTGCAATGTACAAAGAATATTAATATATTCTAATTCTATTTTACTATTATTTCAATCATTGATGTTAAATTTAATTTAAGAATATTAATGATCCACCAAAATTCATATTAATAATTTCAAATCAATTGTGGTTTGTTAACAAAATGCAACCATAGCATTTTAGAGGACTCGGTAAAATTACATTAGTATCCTTATGGTTTGATGAGCTTGAAGCATGTGAAATAACATCAATGTCATATTCGATAGCTTGCACTCCGCATACGACCATGCAGTTCTATTAGCGGTCATTGAACTTACTACCGACGGGTAAACTCCGAAGAATTGTTGTTTTTTAAGTTTTACTTTTTTCGTATCTCCTTCCACCGAGAGATAGCTTTCCCCGAATGCCATACACCGATGATTGTTTGATATTGCCGTCTGACCACAGACGTTTCTTATATTTTTTATATCAAAGTTCCGATAATAGAAAAATACTACTAATTACTGGGAGTCACTTACGACAATTTCCTTTCTTTAACTGGCTACCAAAGTACAGACCCGCAATAAATCCTCAAATCGCCAAAGAAGCATTTATAGGGAAGTTGCACAAATTTCAAAAGGCAGTTGCCTGGTCGTTCATTAAATGCGCTGCACTGACGCCACTAGTGAGACGCAGATGAAGAGGCTACTAGTCTGCTAAAACACCGCCCTGAGAACCGTAACGAGCAACCTATAGATGTCTCCACACACCCACGCACTCGACTTGAATTACTCCATCCTGCACGACAGAACCGAATCGATGTACGAAACGCAATTAGTCCCCGCGCGACATTAACCACCTCTTTGCATGCCTACTAAAATTAACTCATCTAACTCGCCTTGTTCGAACCCGCCGAAACAGCTCGTTTAGTGGACCTACCGTTTGATAACCTCTGAATTTTGAACAGCGTTCAATCCTTCCAAACATTTAATGGTAAACAAGCTATAGCTTCTTCGAGACCAGAAACATTTTCTAAAAGAGACTCATAATTTCTTTATCTTAAAAGGCAGATGAGTATTGGTGCCTGTTGAAACGTTGTTGCAGATTCAAACTGCGTTTGTACATATATAAATATACATATATAATACATACATGTTTATATATTCGAACGGAGTTAATCATAACATATTTTGCGTTTATTACTTTGCCGGGCAATAAATTTTCAGATGACTATTATATAGAGTATATAACTTACACACATATGTACGTATATGTATTTATACATGTTATCATAATATGACCGCTTGTACACTGTGGTTTACAGAGTTCATAACCATGCTTCTATATGCTTATTTGGTAGTTGTTTGATGGTTTCAACCATGATAAAAATATGTGAAGGGTTGTTCGCGATAGTGATTATTTTTACAAAAAAAAAGTTTTGATAAGCTTGCTTATTTATATATGGGATAATTGAACAACGACTTCATATAATGAAAATTGCTATAGGTACGCCACAAAACGAAAATTTTCACAAACATATTCTTTTATTTCGGTTTGTAAAAGTTAAAATATTTTGGTTTATGTCTAAATGGAATTTACTACGACGTGAGAAATATGTAATTTAATATTATAATATTTACAGTTACTAATATATTATAAAACTTTTGCTTTCGGGACAGCTTAAAAAATGTTTTGTATACCTTTTACCTATTGAAACTAGCCTCTTAGAAGTATTGAAAACTTATTATCGGGTAAGTAAAGGGTGACTTTTTAAGAAAGTTTAAAAAAATATATAAAATGCAGAAAATGCTTGGCCCAATGGGATACTCTTTCCAACATTTCGGCGGGTATCTGGCGAATAAATGCTGAAATGTTGTCCTCCAAGGCGTTAATTGAAGCGGGCTTGTATGTATAAACTTTAGATTTAGCATGGCACTAACAAAAAATAGTCAATAGCCTGAACGTGGAATAAAATGTTCACCGAACTCGCCTCTCAATAAGTCCATTGTTACGCGTGCTGTGTGGTATGTAGCACCCCTTTATTGAAACCACCATGCATGTCGAGCTCTTGCATTTTGGGCCAAAAAAAAAGTTTGATATCATCTCACGGTAGCACTCTTCATTCACAGTTAAACTACGATTTGCGTCATCATTTGGTAATAAAATTCAATAATTTGCAAACTTTGTTGATATTTGCTGAATTTCATTAAAACTATGGCATTTACTTTGGAGGAGAAGTTGCTAATTCGTACTATTAAATTATCTGTAATTAAAAGCTAAATTAAAATTTCTAAATTTCGTCTCTCCTTATCTCATAGGGGCGTTTTGACATACATATGTATATGTACGAAGTATGTATTTGTATGAGTTTGTACATATAAAGTATTTGGGCTGAGGCGAAACTTCCTCAATTTTCTGTTGTATTACCTGGGTTTTAAACTGAAATTTGTTAAGTGATATATTTTGCTTCGCAATGTTTTGTGGCTCATTTGGTCGCCACCGCTTTGTTAGTATAATTATTTGTAATATATTAGTATAATTATTTATTTTACATATATTAATATTTTTTGCTATGAATAATGATGAATATAAAAATAAAATATATTAGTTTAAAAAAAATGAATGCTCGTTAAAAACTTTCTGAAAAATTAATATTTATTTTATTTTTCCTTATGCTAAGTTATCAAATCTGTTAGTTTACATCCAAATTTGAACGGAGTGGTGAATTCCTTTCTTGAGATTTTCTAGCAGTGTAAAAACTTCATTCGAGCATCGTTATCGTTATTATAAATTCTCTGGTTCTCTCAGGGTTATATTCTATAGCGTTCTTAACTTAGTACTATGTGAATAGTATTCTCTTAGCCTGTCCCTTCACGTACGTCCCCTGCACATATGGTATTTTAAGACAAGTTCCTTGTTTCTTTGACATACTTTAGTTTTGGGACCGTGCGAATCATTATTCTCATCAACATATACGCTGTTTCACTATGAAAACAGTGTAAAGCCGACATCAAGGCAGTGCTTTGACAAGTTTTCGCAATTTGGCTGTACAATTACGTTTTTGTCTTTCAGAATTTTTTTTTTTGCTAGCTAATTCTTATTCCTGCTGATAGATGTGTGAAAATTTTACTAGTTTTGAATAAATGCTCATTAAATTTACTTATATGTTGATATGAATTTATTTATAGCTACATCGACTCCAACAAGGAACAATATATTACTGCCCTCAAGACAGCTGTTGCTATACAATCGGTATCCGCTTGGCCTGATAAGCGCGATGAAATACAAACTATGGTGCGATCAGTTGCTGATAAGTTAATTGGCCTGGGTGCTGATGTAGAGTTAGCTGACATTGGCAGTCAGCGGCTTCCGAATGGTAAAGAAATTCCACTACCGAATGTTATTTTAGGAACTTTAGGAAAGGTGAGAAAAGTAGCAATACAAATATTCAAAATCAAAAGCTCATAAATATTTATTTATTAAGGACCCTAAAAAGAAAACAATTATCGTTTATGGACATTTGGATGTTCAACCCGCTTTGAAAGAAGATGGTTGGAATACAGAACCTTTTGACTTGACTGAAATAGACGGAAAGCTTTATGGGAGAGGTGCAAGTGATGATAAAGGTCCAGTACTGTGTTGGATACATGCAATCGAGGCATTCCAAAAATTAAATATTGATTTGCCCGTAAACTTGAAATTTGTCTTCGAGGGAATGGAAGAGAGTGGAAGTGAAGGTCTTGATGACCTCTTGATGGCCCGCAAAAATGATTTTTTGGCTGATGCCGATTATGTTTGCATCTCAGATAATTATTGGCTCGGTAAAAAACGGCCATGTTTGACTTATGGACTTCGCGGTTTGGTTTACTATACCATTGAGGTGGAATGTGCCATTAAAGACTTACATAGTGGCGTTTTTGGTGGCACTGTGCACGAAGCGATGCCGGATCTCTGCTACCTGCTCAGTTCACTAGTAGACAAAGACACCAATATTTTAGTTCCAGGCATTAACAGAGATGTAAGTATAAAAACTGTTTTTTCGTGGAATTGCATAAAGTGCGGTCTCAAAATAGTGTGGCATCGTCGATATCAGTGTTAGCTACCATCATTCCATTTATTTTGTGCGCCTTGACGTTTTCCTCCTTTACACCTGTATTGAATTGACTAGGAATAACGCCGAGGGTGTTTTAGTTTTTTCAGTTCGGATTGGTGACATCAAAACTTAAGTTCTTTAAGATCTTTTTCTTAATTACTAATATAATTCTTTTCACAAGGTTTTACAAATGTACTCGCTAAGTTTGGTACTTACGGATAATATTTATCACAACAAGTTTTGAAGCGACGGATGAGAACATATTTCGTGTTTCCTAATCACGAAACATTCGGTGCGCTGCCCTTTCTCCGAACTGAGAGTTTCGGTAACAGGAATTGTCCTGTGTAAACTCCACCTTAAGAAACTGGTGGACGAAAGAACTTCTTCTCGTTTGATGGCTTAAATTATCGCCTTCATGAAGGCCACAATATAAGTTTAACACTTAATTATAAGCAGATTCTATTCTTATTTATTGTTTATTTCCTTAAGCCACCACCTTCTCAGTGCTTTCAAGTGTACTTTTCACTTGAGAACTCTAAAAAAATGCAAAAACACATCAGGACGCACATATATAATAAATAAAGAAAAAAAATGAAATATATATTTATTATTATAAATATTATTAGCCAAGTGGTTAGCATTGCGTACTGCCATTATGGAGGCTCGGGTTCAAATGCTGGTACGACCAACATCTAAAAATTGTAGAAAATTTATTTAAATAAAATATTAAGCTAAATTTTCTAATTGCGGTCGCCCCTCGTCAGGGAATGGCAACCCCCCCCCTTTATAACATGAAATAAAGCTCCTCATAAAAGTGTTGAAAAAATATGAAGACTCAAAACCACAAATTATCGCTTCAGCGGTTACAAAGCGCCAATCATATATTAATATATATTTAAATAAAGAAAAAACTATTTTAATTTATTCAATATATATTTATTATATAAATAATAAAAAGATATATACACTTAAAATTTTGTTTCAAAAACCAAAAACGCTGTTATGTTCTATGGAAAACTTAATTACATATATATGTATAGAACATATATTAAAAAATACGGCTAAAATCGGAACTTTATTATATTAAAATCCTGTTAAAAACCAAGATTATACGATAAATTTATCGTTAACCTAAGAAATTCTATGGTTTAAACATTGAAACATTCCGAAACATTAATGTCAAAACAGTCATCAAAATAAATATCTTTTCGTTTTTATCCGATACGAAAAGCTGCAGTTAATGTTAAGTCGTCAACATATAAAGCTAAATTTGAAGTGTACCGTTAAATCATAGCGAGCATTTTAAATTTAACGTTAACGATTTCATTTGATATTTCAATTTTGGGTAGAACCGATATTCTACTTATATAATTTTTATTATAAGCACTCTTTTAATGTAATTAAAATGTTAACTTTTTTGTTACAGGTTGCGCCATTGTTACACAACGAAAATGAAATATATCACAACATAGATTACGAAGTAGACGAATACAAGTATGTACCCTATTATTTTTTATATTGCCTAAAAAAGTATTTATTTTTGAGCGCACATTGATTGTTTGGGGATAAAATGTGAACAGTGAGACTTTTAGTTTTATTTTTTTTTTATTCGGTACATAGTTTTGTCAAACTGAACGAGCGTATTTTTGAAAGGCTCCATGGTTTTTAAGTTTTAATATCGAAAACTATAAGTATTAAAGCAAATAATTTTATATACATACACGTATTTATATAACCAAGTTTAAATCACTTGATTTGGCAAAATAAACAAATCGTATAGATAAAGAAAAAAGCGAATATCCAAATCCAGCGAAAATAATTGATACCGTGGTGATGAAGCACCAACAAGAACCAGTGTTTATTGATCGTATGGTGAATTCAATCAAGGTCGTAGATTCCACCAAGGCGAATTATTCTACATTTTTTAACCATTGGAGTAAACAAAAACCTAATGAAAAAACAAGGAGGAGTGTAAGAAACAGTGGTGGACGATGCAGCCAAGTAACCCTTTTCCTGCAAATGGAAGAAGTGTTGGCCAACTTGACAAATTTTGACATCAAAATGACGTGATGTCGAATCAAAAACGACGAGAACGGCGACAGCGCCAACTATAACATGGCAATTTAAAACCAGCAGCAAAAAGCACTCAGCCCCTTATTTTTCGATTTTGGTAGCTTACTTCCCTAAAATTTACAATAAAAGTTATAAACTCGATGAAGTCTATTAACAGGGGTCGTTCGTGTTTTTGATTAAATAGATTTTTTTTTTAATATGTTATTTAAAAGTATTACATTTTCTTTTAAGTGAAGGTCAAATGAAGCGTGACTTTAAAATACTGTATACAACACTGTATGGGCTGATATATCCAATGAGCGACTTCAGAAGTTGTTAATACATGGATGAAAAGTCCCGGACTTAAAACATATATAAAGTTTGGCTTGCTCGTAAACTTAACAGTTAGTGGACAAAGAGGGGAATCTAATTTTGGTGTTTTTAAAAAATGGATCAAAAACTATTTGGTGTTTTAACTTTACACTGCTTCTTTGATAATATTCTTCAATCGAAGCAATGGCAACTGCCAAAATGAACAGCTGTTATTGTGTTATTGGCTAGTTCACAGTGACCATGAGCCTCCCAAAATTAATGGATAAATATTTTATACACTATTTATAATTTAATTTTAAAAATTATAATGGAAAAGTGTGAGTTCCAAAACATCAGTTGCAAAGCAACCATACATTATCACGCATTCCTAAATGCAACTGTGCAAACTTTGACGATGTATCATGTTCCAAAACGCATCGGTAAAGTTATTGATACGCAAACAAAAGCAAACTGCGCATCCCTAAAGTTTGCAATGCTTTATTTTATCATAAATTCTCAGCAACAACGGCCGACTTTGGAGTGCAAGTTTTTTGAGCTAATAATTTTTTTTTAATTATATTACTTATTTCTTTGATCGGTTTTATGTTTTAGCCATTTCACCGAATAGTATTATTGCAAGGCTTCGTAAAGCGCGTCATTGCAAAGTATTTTGACGTTTTGGAACTCGCCCAAACTATGATTGGGCAACATTCACTGCAGACGTATCTTGTCTTACTACCAGGGTCTAAAATAGTTCCATATGTAAATTACTCTGAAAGTTTTTGGTTCCTTAAGGTCAAATTTTGAATGCGAGGGACCGCAAACATTTAGGGTTGTTATAATATATGTATCCGCGAAGCTGGGTTGCTTCAAACCCTAATCATCACAGCTGGCCCGACGGATTTTTTCTACTGCGTGTGCCGAAAAAAACTCCACGTCTCCTCCTCCTCGATTAGGTGCAACCAGTGTAATGGCTGGAGTCACCTTAAGGTCTACTCAGGTCTTAAGACCAAAGGGAGTGGTCCACACGTTACGTGGCCTCACACTGTCAGCACCTGAGCGAGCTTCTAGCGTACACGGCAGTGCCTACAGCACCTTTACCCACTTTGGGTAACCAACAGACCTCTATGGTCTCAAGGAGCTCCCCACAGCATGACTCACCAATCCCAATCCCTACCCACAACCAGCTCCTCTTCCCGTGCAGAGGCTACCCATCAGCTCCTAGTCCCCCGCACAGTCTGTTCCGTGTGTTAGTACGTCGGAACATGCTCTCAGTCAGATGCAATTCTTGCTCTGGCTGGTGTAATTTCCGGACGTGATCTGGTCTGCGCACCACCCGTGAGTGGTGTGAGGGGTACGTTACCCTCTGCTGTAGGAGTCTGCCACCGCCTGTATCTACAACAACACCACCTACCAACTCCAATGTGCGGCACTCAATCCAACGTTCATCCTACACAACACCGTGCAGTATCGTTTTATTTGAAATATTTAATATATACTTTCAACCAGTTACAAACTGCCCTATATAGGTGCGCTACTCAGAGCTGAAAACCATTTGGTTTTGGGCAGCTTTAACGCGCACCATGATCATTGGCATTCTAGCCTGCCAAATGACCGTAGAGGAATGGAACTAGTGTAACAATGAAAGACAACATCCCCAGCAGTGTTGTTGGTAATTGTGTGCCGGTTTTAGCAAAAAGTGGGAGGAGCACTTAAGGTCCTGCAGTCTCATCTCTGGGGCAACCAAGCTCTGGGATACAATCTAATCGTTGTCTTACCCGACGAGACGCTATGACCGAGAGGAAATTTCATTCAGTGCGCGATCTATTTGAGTCGACTTTTTACATCCTTCGGTAGACAAATTGAAGCGACAATTAACAATTAACCCACCGCCTTGCTGATGCTAAAACATCTTGGACCAGCGGGAGCAGATTTCCTCACCAAGGTCCTCAATTTGTCTTTGGCCACCCTAATGCTGACCGATGAGTGGAAAATGGGCAAGGGGGGTCCCGCTACTCAAGCCGGGGAAACCAGCCAACAAAGGAGAGTCTTATCGGCCGAGAACTCTCCTCTTCCCAGTAGAGAAGACACTTGAGGACAGTGCTACTATCGGACATTGATGTGGATCATGCGCTGAGTGGTCGACAATCATCGGTAATATATCGAAATGAAACATCGAGGAAAATTAAACAAAGGGGTCCGCAGGGGAGTGTCCTCTCCCAACTATTGTTTTGTATTGTTTAATTTCTACATCCCTTCTCCACCAGAAGGAGTTTCCCTAACCTGATATGATGATGATTGCACGATATTGGCATCTGGCCAGTATATTGATTAACAAACCGGCGAAATCCTCAGCTACCCTCTTCCCGAGCTTTAGGAAGGAATACATGCTCGAATTAGATGTGACGGTTGATGACGTGAAAATTCCTACCATAAAAAACATCAAGGTTTTGGGAGTCATACCCGACAGCCTGCAATCCTTCACTCCACATATGACTGCAATTGCCGCAAAACTACAGAGACGGAGCAAAATACTCAAAGAGCTATCCGACAGCACCTGAGATAAAGATAAAGAATCCTTGCTGGCAACCTATAAAGCAATTGGCTGGCCGTTCGTAAACTATGGCTCACCGATCTGAGCGCCGGGGGACGGACGGACGATACGCAGATGAAGAAGTTACATCAGAAAGGGAGTATCAGATTTAAAGGACACAATCGAGCAACATGTGCCACAGCCGCAGGACAGGATGGTTTACAGACAAGCACTGAAAGCCATTCCCCACGTGTCAGTCAACACCTTCAAAGATTCCCTTCCCGTGAATAATGGGCTCAAAGATAAACCGCCACCTATCACAGACAACGAACTCGAGCTGCCTCGAGAGACCCGCGTGTCACTGGTACAACTTAGGTCTGGAGAAAATCTCCATGTTAAACTCCTACCTATCCAGACTCGATCACAACATTTCCAACGTCTACCCATCATATGGAGAGTCTCCGCACGATACTAACCACCTCTTCACATGTCCCCTTCGGACGACACATCTAACGCATCTAAAATGAAGAAGAACTTATGTAGAAGGCAGAAAACCAAAAATTCAAATTTAAGAAGCTTCCGATTTAAAGGACAGGATATGTAAAATGGCTACAGGATAAGATCCTTAATTTACTATTTTTATTATTTTTCCTCAAGCTGTATGTGTGTGTGTGTGTGTAATTTTGTATTGATATTTTTGTACATAATTTAATTGCAGAAAAGATATTGGAGCTCAAAAATTGCCTCATAATGAGGACAAAACCAAATTATTGATGCACAGATGGCGTTATCCAAGCCTTTCCATTCACGGTGTTGAAGGCGCTTTTTATGAACATGGAGCAAAAACTGTTATACCGGCCAAAGTTATCGGCAAATTTTCTATACGTCTGGTTCCTAATCAAGATCCTGATCACATCACAGAGTGTGTAAAAAATTATATAAATGCGAAATGGGAAGAACGTGGTTCGCCAAACAAAATGAAGGTACTAATTTATATAATTCTTAAACGATTTCGTCTGAGCATTTGCATATTTTATGTGTTACCAAATAGGTTAATCTCGTAAGTAGTGGCAAACCTTGGACTGAGGATCCTAATCATCCTCATTATGAGGCTGCCAAAAATGCCATAAAACACGTGTTCAAAACTGAACCTGATATGACTCGTGAAGGTGGTTCAATACCTGTGACGTTGACCCTGCAAGAGGCCACTGGTAAAAACGTTATCTTAGTTCCAGTTGGAGCTTGTGATGATGGTGCACATTCGCAAAATGAGAAAATTGATATTTACAACTACATAGAAGGGGTAAGTGAAGAGTAGCAATTATCACCTCTATTGCGAGTGTCTGCTACTAGTAGAATATTTTCTATTTAGATTTTAGACAATTAGGTGTGTTAGAAAATCAGATTGTTGTTAGAATCAGAATTGAAAACTACAAAATTCTTCTTAAGGGGTTACAAATTCGGAGTGTTGATTTGCATAACGGTTTCATTTTCGAAACAGAATTTGTGTCGGTCTTTGGTGGAAGCGGAAATTTAATAAAAGTGTAAGTCATGAACAGTGGATTTTATATTACTGGTTGGCCTGGAATACGGTACTTGGTGTAAAAATGGTTACGAGCTCTCCGCTTTTCATTGTCGTTCATTCCTAACTATATCCAGCGTGGGCAAATCAACCGTTCAAAAGCCTTTAGCTTTTCTATTGTATCCACCAAAACTGTAGATCGTGCTAAGGATATATTCAAATCATTGCTTACGGACTCTTGATAGGAGCCTTCTGTCAAAACCCCGAGTGTCGCTGCATCACAGGTGGGTGCACAGCCTATCTAACTTGTCTTCAATGATATCCAGCAAATTTTTGTGAAGACGAAATTGGTCTATGAATCGACAAACAACCAAATTTTGTATCAGCAAACGTAAAAGTAGAATCCCCTAAAACTTGCTCTAGATAGACATTGATAAGCAATTCAGTGTCGGTTTCTATAACACCCCTGAATGTGTATCTTTCTCTTAAAGGTTTAACATATCCTACACTTGGAGCTTTTTCCATTTCAACATTTTTCGCAGTTTAGTTATGATAGGTGTAAGCTTTTTAAACTATCTTCTATTCCATCTCGATGGCCGACGACGAATAATTCCCTCACAAAATCCACCATTCGATAGCTTATATACCATACACTGCTTTAGCTTCTTTAATGTCAGCAAAAGTTATCCATTAACGAAATGGTATAAAATGTTTTACTCTCCCAAAGAAGGAAATGAGTTTTCACCGGACAGGATTCAGTAAATATTAGCCAAAATTCTAATTTTTTTTACTCGTCACACGCAAAAGGGATGTATTTATGCATTATGGGCATAATAGAAATATACTTGCATTGATATAATATAACGAAATGTATATAATATATAATAATGAATATAATATTTTTAGACTAAACTTCTCGGAGCTTACCTGCACGAAGTCGGAAAATTGGATTAAAGATCTAAACAAATTGATAGCAATGAAACGGAAGCATCACAGAATTTAACAATTATACAGTATATATATCAGCATTAACACTTTAATAACAATTTATATTTTTCTAGTAAACTAAACATTGAATAAATTAAATTGATAACTAATCTGTCCATGTATCACCATATTTATTTCTATGGCCACTAGTTGAAGAACCAGGAGAAGATTTAAATGTTTCATTGTCTCTATTTACAAATGGAACATTTGGAGGCAACGAATGAGATAGCGGATTTTGTTGTTGTTTTTTCTCATATTCCTCTCGGTTTTTCTTTCGTAATTCCTCATAACTCGTACCATGCTTTGCTTGTTCTATAGGTAACTCAGTTTCGTAAAAAGGAGACGGATCTAAAATTAAGCAAAGATAAATATATTATTCCAAATGCTTCAAAAAAAAAAAAATAACGAAATTCCGCTTACTATCCAGGGATGGCCGATAAATATCATCAAGACCTGCAATTGAGGGTCGACTTTCTAAATCTAAATTAAGGGCGTTGGAGCGCGTGAATTCCTTGTTGTTGTCTTCACTTGCTCCAGTTGAACTAAAGGGAGACAAGGACATGCCTATTCCAATACTTTGGTCGGGATTTAACCTGCTAAGGACACTTCCATTTTGTTTGCGTTGTTGTAGTAATTCTCCAAGCTTTGAATTAGGTAATCGCATAAGTTTTTCTGCGCATTTCTGTTGATAACTAAACTTGCCGACAAAATAGCCTACTATTACACCCACAACTACTTTGGGTACGGCGCCATACCTATAATTTCCCTGAAAAGAAAATGAAACAAATAAATCTTAGTTCAAATTGTTCAAATATTGAACTGCATATAAACAAGGGATACTAGCAGAGCTATTCAAACATTGCGGAAAGGGACCCCACAGTTTGCGCCAACTACTGTGGGGTAAGCCTCCTTAATATCACATATAATATTCTTTCGAGTGTTTTGTGTGAAAGACAAAAGCCCACCAATGCGCAAAAATTTGGAACCTGTGAAAAAAGGATCGACACACACCACCTCTTCGAGATTTTATTTCAGGGTGATTCCTTATCGTGTGACTCCCTTAATAAATTTCTGGAGAAAATAACACGAACTGCAGAGCTGAATATAGAAGATCCAATCTTCTACAAGAGTGCCCTGCTACTGGCGCACACCGCTGATATTGGGTTGCCCCAAAAGAAACCACCAATTTTTCATACAGACGGCGTTGAAAATTTCTTGAACAGCTTGTGACTATTTAATTGTATTTTTTCTCAAGCTGTCATTTATAGCTTGCTTTAGAAACCAAGTTCGCGTGATTTTGTTTATATTTGGTTGCTTGGAGCTCACAAAAGAACATTTTCGCCATATTCGACCTTATCATTTCCTTAAAGGGAAAAATACAGGACACGTTGCTAAAAAGTTGCACAATTTGTATGGTGATAATTCCTTAAAAGATACACAGTGTCGAAGTTAGCTTGTACGGTAGAGGTAAGCCACGTTCAGGTCGGCCAAGTGATATTGATGATGGTGATGATATCAAGGCTTAAATCGAATTGGATCGTCATGCAACTGAGCGTGATCCATTTGAAAACGATCATGGTCTAAACCACTACAAAAATGACATTCGCCAAAAGAAGAATACGCTGTCAGTTTGGTGGGATTGGAAAGGTGTGGTATATTTTGAGCTGCTTCGAAGGAACCAAATGATTTATTCGGATGTCTACTGTGAACAACTGTACAAATGGAACATCCATCAACGAGAAGCAGCCAGAATTGGTTAAAGGTAAAAGTGTCATATTCCACCATGACAATTCGACTAATTAAATGGTAAAACTTTTGAAAATAACGAGGCTATAAAATCGGTTTTGGTTCAGTTTTTTGCAGATAAAAATAGAAATTCTGAGTATGGAATAATTATGTAGCCGGAAAGATGGCGAAACGTCATCCAACGAAATGGAAATTACAAAATTGATTGGAGTTCATTATAAAATTTAAAAAATGTATTTACACTTTTTAAAAAATCGCTGGTTTGTTTTGGGGCAATACATGTGTTTCAATAAGAACTTTAGGTCGCGAAAATATTAGACTCGCCACGTATAAATTAAGTTTGTCAGAAATGATGTGACTTATCGTTCTCTGTTTTTATTAAATATAACGCGATTTATGTATATTGTAAAATATGTATATACAATACATACGCTCATACAGAAAAACGTAAGTCTAGTTGGTTGAAAATAAGAACTTACAACTTAAATTGAAGAAAATTACATAAAATTATCTTTGACAAATAGATGTTTTTCCATACTTACTTTAAAATAGCCGTTCTTTACACCCAAGTATGCACCAACTCCTAAAGCAGTTCCAAGCGGCAAAGATCGTTGAAAAAAGGATTCAGTGTTACATTCTCTTAACACCCTTACTTCTTCAGAGGAAAACTGATAATTTGCCTACAGAGTAAACGGTTATGATAACATTTCAATTTAAAAAAGTAATAATTACCAGCGGGTGCTGCTGCGCTTGTTGTGTCGGCGTTTCCATTATACTTTGAATACACGAACACTTATTATTTAAGAAAAAACAACATAACCAATTTCCTTATCGAAGATATAATTGTTATTGAAGATGTTTTTTGATTGCTATAATGATTGTAGTATAACTATCGATATATCACCAGTTTCGGTATAGTGAATTACTTTGTTCGTTATCTCAATTACCTTCACTAATTACCTAGTTCAAATGAAATTTCACCATAATGAGATTTTACCTGCCTTCCTTTTTTGTTTTATTTATAAATGTATTGAGCTTTTGGTCCCAAGAAAAGCTGACAGTATAGGCGACACGACAATCAAAAGAAATTTAACTTCAAATAGAAGTTAGTAATGTTCATCTACCAATGGCCATTTTGACAAATAATTGATTTGTTGTCAAAATCATTTGTGAAATGTTGCTAATTTAGAATGTTTATATCTCTTGAATACTTTAATATTAAAAAAACGAGTTTATTTGACTTATTATTTAATCTTTATTTAGTTTTAATAAATATTACTACGTTAAAGCTTCAGCTCGGTAGCATAACCGTGGATTAAGTTGAAATCAGCTGATTTGCACTTAACTTGATTGATACAGAGTTTCTGTGTTGCTAACTTTTTGCCAAAAAAAACTGGGTTTGGCAACTCCATTCTGAATTCAACTCGAGTAGAACATTTTGCGTTTATGCTTGTACGCTTACCCGAGTAGAATAAACCCGCGCAGCAATGAAGCATAAACGTAGTATATGTCGTAGATAAATTGTACAGTAATTTGGCGTAATTTCCTCTCAAGTATTAGGGTAGAATCTTCTTTTATATTGGCCCGCTCCCCTATTCCCAATGTTTTACTTTTCGTACCTCCTTCCAGCCCTAGAGGGCTTTTTCCTGATTTTATCAGCCGATGACTGTTTGCGTCAGATCAAAGCATTGACAAACAACAGTATCTGGAGGAGAGAGTACCGTACATAATCCCAAGTGACTGGTATTCACTTTCGAAAGCCGCAACAAAATCCTCAAATAGCTTGCTGGTAGCACTTGAGTAAGAAATATCTCTTTTAAACTTATGCACCACCTAGTCAGAAAACCTTTTTATCTTTCAATGAATGTTGTTCCAGAAATCCACAAATACTGACACTATTAAGATCTGGTATTGTAGTCGATCAAACTTTTATTGAAATCTTTGTTCCTCTCACCTATCTGGGCTTGACAGCGGAAACGAATCCTAGCACGACACTAACCACTACTTTTTATACCCTCTAAAACCAACGCAACTAACTTCCCTCTGGTTAGAACCCGTCGAAGCAGTCTGTTTTCCAAAGCTTTCGTTATGTATGGTTTTGCGTCTTGATGTTTTTCCTGGCGGCTTTTCATGAGCAGCCTTTATTTCATGTCCGAAATACACTCGGAGGTGTTGACATTTCCTGTCGAGGGGCGACCGAAACGAGAAAATTTGGTTTATTTTTTATCGAATGACAATACGAAATGCTAAGCAATCGGCTACCGCGACCGCCACCAAAGCAGCAGTTAAATACAATATATTTTGAAGTTAAACTGTTTTAAAGGCGATATTAAAGAAATCGTGTACCAAAATGGTTGAGTTCATTTACGGAAATTATGTTTAAAAAAAGGGTAATATGCTGAAATTATTTTTAATTATACTTTGTATTGGATGGTACCTTCTGCAGATTGACAACATTATCTCCTTCCATATATCATTGTCAGAAATATTTATTGCATTGGACCTAAACATATGTCATAATCTTTTTTGTTTTGGTTGCTCTTGTAGGAAGGACTGGCTTCAAAAACTCATTGCCACTTATATATTTCATAAACACTAATCTCTACAGTTATGACTGTCAGGAGTGACGTGGGAATTAGATATTTCTTCTGACTTCGTTCCCTACCACTCCCTTTCTCCTCGTTCTTTTTGAGCAGGCTGGTCTGTTTCTTCGTTGTCTTGTTGCGGAAGCAAGGGAGGTAATCAAAGGGTTGCGTTGATTGTCGTTTTGTTATATACTTTTGTGTGACAATTTTTGCTTCTGCTTTAATAGTGAGTATTTTTAACTTGTTGTGGATGTTTTAAATTTTTTCTCTTCAATGTAAAAAGTAATATGTACTTGCATTTCGTCAACTTTAATACGCTATTATTATATGTTAGCCATTTTTAATTAGTTTATGATGTTGTTCTAATATTTTTGAGGCTGCGATTTTGAGTAGAATCTTCGTCACTTGCAGGCCTATTCTCGCTGTTACCGGTAAAGTAAATTTTGTTACTTTTCTTTAACACCCGAAATTGAATTTGTATTCTGGCGAACTGGTTAGAATGTTTGAAAAAAACTTGGCAGCACTGCTTTTTTCGTCCATGTCAAATTACATTTGCCAGTTGATAAAGTAAAAAAGAAAAATATTCACATCGAAATGGAAGACAGTGCACAAAAAAAATTTACAGGCAAATATGACTGGACAACAAAAAAAGCTGAATGAAAACGTTATCTTACAAATTAAAGGGCTATTTTTTAGTTTCGAAAACTTCTTAAACTATGGCTTTTTGCATTTTTTTCTTCATTTTCAATGAATTCCAGGCCTAAAATATGCCTACCCATTTTGGTATTTTATTTTTTCTCAAACTTACAACACAAAACCAAACAGCAGACATTTTTGTTACCTCCTGTTTCGCTGGTAACAAAATTTACTGAGTAACAGTGAGCTCAGAGTACGAAGTACAGGCCTATTTTGTCGAGGAAACAAAATTTACCTAGGTATTAAAATTTACCGTTCATTAAATTTTGTTACCTCGACAGAATAGGCCTGTTGTTGAAAGACGCGGTAAACAAAAGCCCATGAGACGCACTTGCGGAATACCTTCCGAGATTGCATTCTCTGATTTAGTTTTATTATATATCGAATGTCATATAAATAGGATTCAAGGACAGTAAGGAAAGTTTTTGATAATTATTGTTTAATATTAGCTGTGTTTGTTGAGAAATGTCAATAAAAAACAGCTACTAACGAAAGTCCTACTCCCCCAAAGAAGGAAATTTCTAAGTTTTCAACGAACATAATTCAGTAAATATTGACCAGCAAGTTGTATACGAGCTGTTAATTTTGACAGTTAAATTTGAATCCTCCTGTTTTGAATTATTTACCTAAGTGTTTTAATGAAATTGGCTATTATACAGTGTATTTTTTTTTATTAATTGTATTCAAAATTTACCTTATTTAAACAATGATGAAATTCTAAATTCTTATAAGACGATGATTTATAAAAAAAATTTGCTTTGCTTTATTAGGGAACTAGTTTTTGGTTCAACGAATACGTTTGGAAGGTAATGTCACAGGATGATTAGTCTATATGAAGACGGCAGAGTTTCATTTTGGTTTAGCTATCATAATCATGATGATATGCGAGTTTTCCCATGCTTGTAGATAGTGTCCTAGTTTTAATATGGTACTGAAAAGCTTTGTAAGTGAAACAACAGTGGAAAGATGTTGGAATGTTCTCTGATGTGATATGATTATAAATATATAGAAAACTTTTATGGACGGTAATAATCTTTGTTAGCTCAAAGCAGATGTTTTGCAAGAAATATTGTGTCTTGGAACATTATAATTTAGTTACTGAGGTGCAATTTGTTAGAGTTTTTTCTTCGTCGTGTCTTAAGGCCTGACGTCGCATTTTAAACGCAATTTTCATTTCTTTCAAAGATTTTTCTGACAAAAAAATTTTTGGTTCGACGTGTGACTACCTTGAAACTAGTTTTTGCAATTTCATATACATACATAGCTGCATAGCTGTAGAGGTGAAAATTGCAGTGAATGAACGCACTCATCTATCTGTGATATGATAACTGACATTAAATGTCGGGTTGTTCTGTTAAAAAATTTGTGTATTGACGAAGAAGTTCTTTTTTCATAAATTAGTGTGAAATAAGTTAGTTAAGCATTAAATCGTGTGGTTTTCTAATAGGGGGCTCAACTAGTATTATTTCGTGTCGTGTTCATCTGTGGCTATATTCATTTCAAAAGGACTGTCAGTAGACGTCATTTGTTTTAGCGTGAACAACAATTTGGCGATCGAATGTGCCAAAAGTGGTTTGCACGGTTTAAAAATGGCAATTTCAACTTAGACGACAGCCAAACAAATTTCAAGACGAAGAATTGGAGAAATTGCTCGACGCAGATGTATGCCAGACTCAAGAAGAACTTGCAAAAGCATTAGGAGGTGATCAAGCAACCGTTTCAGGACGATTAAAATCATTTTTTCACGAAAAAGTCTTAATTTTCTAAAAAAAAACCGCACGAATTAATGCATACGCCCATAATATAAATTTTATCGCGCGCAAATTTATAGTTTAAAAGTTATCAGCATTTAAAGTTACACTTTATATATACAGGGAGCCTGCTTGAGTTTTACTTATAAAAAAATAACTTCATTTGGCTAGGGAGGCCGAAGAGAAGAGCAAGAAAACGCCAAAACGTTAGCCCTGTTATTTTTGATAGCGCGCGTTGCCACTCATTCGCGTTAGGACACGCTACGCCGAACGCTCCAAATTAGGTATGTTTGTTAGATTATTTTTGTAGCTTAGTTGTTATGTTTATTTAAAAAAAAATACAGAAACTTAAATTGTTCACAAAGAGTGGCTGGCATTTTCACAGTAAAATCTGAGTTATGAAGCCGACATTTGTGGTGAAGAGCACTGCACATATTAATAATGGTAACTGCTTTCTTAGCAAACATTTGAAACGGCCTTTGTTACACAAAAAAAGTCGTTTCATTAAATAATAACTAAATGCAGGCCTAACGAGAGGGGGAGGGGATAGGGCCCGTAGATTGCAAGGGGCCCGGTGTTTTCATTGTCGTATATAGAATAATTTGCTTCTAGAATATCTATGACGTAACTGACTACAGATTTTCATGGATTGCTATGCTAATTCTGCGCGTCTGAAAAAAATCAGTAATTTTGTTACTTCACATTTGAGATATTGGACGCATGTTCTTATCTTACAGTCATTGCAGTAAGATTTAGTTTTGTATGAGAAAGATCAATTTTTCAGGCTTTAATCTGTGAAAAGTCTTACATAGAGCTATGACTTGTGGAAAAAATGAAGTTAATTGTCTGTCTAAAATAACTTCACTTTTGTAAATTGAAAAATACTGTCACTTAGTAATGCAATTGAGAAAAGAGGAAAGGCGATAACTCCGAGCCAATATTATTATAATAATATAATACAACATATCTCAGGACGTTATGTTTGGAATCTCAATTAGCTAGAAAACTTGACTTCGGTATTATCATTGAGGAATTTGCATCGGCTAAAGCAAGGAAGGCATATTTTTGAGGGTTGCTAATGATTAAAATACAATTGTGATGCAAACTAAGGTAATAAAATTATTTAAACAAAAATTGTTCCAGATTACTCATTCATTTTCATTTTTATTCAAGTTCTATTCTATCTGATTCCCCAACTCGTTGATTTGCAGTGTAAGTACAAATAAACATATTTGTTAGATCATGAAATTAAGGTGTGGGGGGCCCGCATTTGAATTATCCCCGTGCCCCGACTAAATGATTAAATAATATTATAGAATCATGCATACATTTTGTTGTATAAGTTGTATACATGAAAAAAATATATATATAAAACGAGAATTGTTGACGGTGGGCTTCAGTCTTTCACACAATTCGCTCGACAGGGCCATAAAGGCGATATTAAGGAGGCTTATCCCACGATAATTATCACAGACTACCGGGTCACCGTTTTTTTGGATTGGGCAGAGCGCACTTAAATTCCAATCGTCTTTCGACCATATACTGCAAAGCAACTGATGCATACACCTCGATAGCTCTTCACCGCCATGTTTAAATACTTCTGCCGGTAGGCCGTCATCTCCCGCCGCTTTGTTGTTGTTTAAGCGGGCGATTGCTATTCGAACTTCTTTCTTGGTCAGGTATTAGAACGTTTTTTCCATCGTCATTGATTAGGTTTCGGTATCACCATCTCCATTTTCACTGCTATTCAGCAGGCTGGAGAAGTGTTATCTCCATAAATTCAATATACTTTGGGCATCGGTTGTTAGATCACCTCTTTTTGTCCTACAGGAGTATGCTCTGGTCTTTTTGCGACCTTTCTGAAATCAAATTCTTTCGTTTGCAACTGTAGGAGTTTAAAACGCCGTCCCACAGTTCCCATATACCGAATCGAGTAGCAATCCGCCGATCTTTTTTAAGATTTGACGCATGTTATGAATCTCTGGTTCTCTCTAATTCCATAATTTGTCATTATACCAGCTTTTTCGTCGACAATGTCGAAAAAATTGCTTCTGTAACGCAGGTAGTTTAAAACGAGCTTCTGCTCTACGAAAGCAGAAGTGCCAGTCGAGTCGGCTTGTTGTCTGCTGTGAAAGCAGCGTTCTACGTCGAACATTCTTTGTATGGAGGCGTAAGCTCATCTAAAATACTAGAGAGATGGTTACCGTCCATGCGACATGGCCGACTTGATTGCGAGTTTTTCGGCAAGGGAAGCACTAATAGTAGCGTCCTAGGATCTTATATATGGTATCTTTGGTTGCATCGTCCTTCCCTTCCGATGGATTGTGGGAACAAATCAGCGATAAGTTAAGAAACTTCATTCTGGAAATCCAAACCTGCCCTACTTTATATATGGCCGAACCCAGATTTTCAAGTTTTTGTGCCGTCTCTTGTACTTCTTAAAAGGCGGTGATGTCAGCATTCAGTCTTACTACAACAAAAATAAACGGGCATTCCAGGAGCATGCTTAAAACGTTTGCAGAGGTCATCAACAAGGTCAATGGTTCGAGTCCAGCCCAGACAAACATCATATAAATATTTTTTTATAATGTTTTATTGAATTTTTCCTTTTTAGAAACTAACAATAATTTTGAAAATCTTAAAGCTAATTCTTATTCCTGGAAGAAGTTAATCATTACCACTGTTAGAATTAACAAAGTAAGCAAAGTACAATAAATTAAGAATATAAATTAGATATCACTAGGGATACCAAACACTCTTGTTTTAAATTTAACAAAAGATATATCACAAAGGATAATAATAATAATTTGCTTCAAAATTATAATATCAGGATGAATATATGCGGAGCGCAACTTCGATGTAGAATAATTGGATGCGGCAGAGCCCTTAGTAACAGTTCAAACGTGAATCCTTTCTCTTTAATCGCTTTGGGTAGTTCTGCTGTAATAATTTTTTAGCTAGAAAGTTTGGGTTTTTCTCTATTTCCTCGGTGACAACTTTAATTCCGAGATCGTTGTGAATTGTGGAATTTTTTACACACCAAGGGGCTTTGCACATTCATCTTAAGGTTTTAGATCCTTTAGGATCCCGTACGTCCAAGATGGCTTTTTAAGCATATTAAAAAGTAAAACTTTGTTTTTTAGACTTAGTTTGGACTTAGAGCCCACAATGCAATCCAAGTTCGCAATTTCAAATTTGATTTGAGTAATTTTTCCAACAACAAAACTCATATTTTTCACACATACAAATTGCTATATGAATAGAATGGAATTCAAACGCGAATTTGAGGATAAGCACCAAACTCCGGGCTCAACCGCGTTTTGCCTAGATAGGTTTTTTGGTACGTTTCTTTGAATGTCGAGCAAAACCGTTAGAATTTAGTTGGTTGTGTTGTCGTGCTAAATATATTGTTGCGAAAATGCGAGGCGAATGTCAGATGAAAGAGAGAAGCCGATAACTAGTACGTTCTAGAAACGATAAAACAAGAACCTTCCATAGCGAACAATTCGATGCTTCTACGCTTTCGTCTGCGAGCAGCCGACTGCTATATAAAGGCGACACTCAGCTGCAAGTCAAGCAGTGACAAAGCAAATTGGTTGGCGTTAACATCAGTGAAGACGTAAAGTGAACGTGTTGGGAATTACATTTAAGTAGAGGAAATTGTGAAAGTTGATGTTAGTGATTATAAATAGTAAAGTGCAGTATAATTGAATTGTGAATTACTGAGAAAATAAAGGACATTAGATAGAATCTTTATAACGAAAGAAACTGCAAATTAAGTTGGCGAGTTTTTATTTAACAATCCAGAGATCGTACCCGAAGGATCTAGAAAATAATCGAGGTTGATTCAGTAAAATCGTAACAATATTATATATTCGGTAAAGGTTTTAAACTTTTTTTAGCTCACTTGAAGGTGGCTAAGATGTAAAACAGTAAATGTTGTTATTCAGTGTCATGGATGATAATGTAATATAAAGACAATTTTTATTATTAGTAAGGGTTTACATATTTTTTTTTTAAGACATGTATTAAATCCCCACTTAAAGAGAATTTTTTTATAGCCCCCAACCCTACGTGATGTAACTTAAATTTACCGCAACAAAAAAAAAACGGGAAGTATTAAATTTTGAAAAATTGATTACATTATTAATATAAGTTTATGTTTTAGAACATTTTAATTACCTTAATGTAAATATAGTTAAAAGTGCAAAATGCTCTGCTATATCTACTAATGGCAATCTTTAGTACTGTTCATATCGGTTATATTTATTTCATCTTTTGGTGGAAAATTTATTAACTTCGATCAGGTGAGCTCCTGATGATAGTTTTTCTACGTGTAGGAGAGTACAACGCCATTGGCACTCACTCTTTAAACTATAGGTCTGCAATAACAACTCATTAGTCTGAGCTTACATGAGAATACTTTTGTCGCTAATTATCGTAATTTTCTTTTTTGTTGTGTCGCCCTTCGCGCTTACGCAGAGACACTTTCTTACAGAAATTTTTTCGAAACATGTTTCTTCTTCATTTTTTTTTCTCTATTCGCAATTTTCCGTTCTCTTCACACTTTTTAATAATTCTAAAATAAGAACACTATGTTTGTGTGAGGAAGATGCATCAATTATTTATCTACTTCTTTTATATGTTTTTACATTGGATTAAGCATCAACTCAACCCTTTTTAAAGTGTAATCTAATTACATATCTCATCCTTTTCGCTATCATTAGAGCCAATCCCAAAGGCTTCTTCTATACATTCTAATATTTCTTGGATTAATTAACTTATTAATTTGCAAACTCCATTATCTGGGCATTATCCAGGCATATAAGTTTGCACGCTTACAACATTTTTCAACGAATATAGCGAGACTGTGTGCTCTCGCCTTCGTCGTCGCCCCTGCCATATAAACGAGTGTTTCGCCAACAAAAAGTATCTCCGTGTAAGCTCGGACTTACAAAACATAGGCAAATAGTAGGGATTGTCGAAATTATGACTTTGTAAATTTGTCGATTTTTTTAAGAAAAATCGATGTATACTGTACATTCGACTGTAGTTGCATTCGTGTTGATTTTTATGGAAGATTATGGACATCGATTTTAAGCGTTCAGAGTAAATTATTATGTTGTTTTATGGAAGACTTGTGATAAATATATGAACAAATGTAATGAAATTTTGGTCTAATTTATTATTTTAAAAGTATATAGAATTTGTTTTTGAAACTAAGGAAGTTAGGTGAAAGTTGTGAAAACGTTGAATATAATAGCTACGTATGTGTCGTCGCTTGTACACCATACCTCCCACATATTTTGTTCGCATATGTATATTGCAGCTGCCGTTGCTGTTTACCAGCTGCTAATATTTTCTATATTAATTAATAAAAGAAAGCAATATTTATTTTGAAAGTAAAAGAAAAAATATTTAATTTATGTGAAATTCGCTTAGAAAATATTTTAATATTAATTCCATTTCGCGTTAAATTGTTTTGTAAGCTACTATTGAGTACTTTTTAAGTAACAGCAGACGGATGAAACGAAAAAGTCAATAAAGCGGAACTCAAAATTATTTGTAAAGTATCCCATACACACATGCCATAGAATAAATAGAGTGGACCTGGACTTATATATATTAATTTATAAATCGCTAGTTAAGAGTTTATATTCAGAATTACTGTACGCAATATATATACACGCCGGTTACTGGGTGTAATCATTAAGCTGAGTCAAAGATAACCTCATAATAATTGACCCTCCTTGGTGAATTTTCATTTCAACTTCTTTGCCTGACATGCGACTTTCTCAAAAATAAGGTAAATTCTTATGTGTAAGGACGTGATTTTGTAAGCAATTGATATAAGAAGAAAATCTTTGATGAAGATTGCATAAAAAGAACGTGGTTTGGTTCGGTTGGTTCATAACTCAACTATTAAAAAAATGCAAAATCTATATAAGAAATTACAAAATCTTTAAGGGCTATTATTTTTCTTACAGCACCTTTAAATTGATATGGATCGAAGTGTGGACTCGATTGGAAGTTGTTCACTTGATGTTGATGCCGATTCAACAGATGTATCAGGTAAAATATTTTCATTTCTATAAAAATATGCACACGTATTGTACAAATACTATTATTTTTTAGATACAAGTGGAAGCATGAATTTTCCAACACCAATTTCGGTAAAGGACATCACTAGAGAATTTACAACAAATATACGAGAGCGTTGTGCGGTTCAAAATTTCCATGAAAATATTAAAACCATCGGACTTGAACAAAAAATGGTTTTAAAGCAGCCTCTTGGAAACGTAAATAATACAAGTGCCTTATTAAATTCTTCAAATCCACATTCGAATAAGATGATAACTTTGACTGATGTAAGTCCGGATAAAAAGCCAAGTTATTTGAACCTCGCTTGCTGTGTCAACGGTTATTCTAATTTAACAACTTATGATTCTAAAATACGACAGGATATAAATAAGTCTCGCGAGGTATCGCCGATACGTCCGTCGTCAAATTGTATTCAGTATTGTAAAAAAAGTGATTCTTTGGCGCCTCCAATTCTCTTAAAAATGGATGATGGGCGTGGAGACGTTGCAAATATGAAGCCAAATTTGTCAAATGGCCAGTGTAATAATTTTGGATATAAAAAACCAGAAAATAATAAATATGAGGACAATGAATCGCACTTTCAGGACGGTCGCCGAAATACTAGTTTTATTCAACAACGAGTTGAGCGGTTATATGGACCTGCTGCTTTAGCTCAGCGCTTTTACAGTCCTAAGAAAGTACGCAGTAGTAATTTTACATGTTCGCCTGCTCATGACCTCGAAGATGCTAGTTCATCTGAATTGGCTCGTAAATTTCAACAACTTACACCAAGTAAAGATTACACAGAATTTAGAAAAAAATTAAGTGCAACCACATCAAATTGTCCACGTCAAATCGTTTCAACTACTGATATTTCGAATGTCAATAACAATAACGTTGATTTGCCTGTGTTTCGTCATTTGAGTCAAGAGTTCCGTGCTCAGCTACCATTAGTATCGCCAAAAAAGTATCATTCAAGAAATTCACCAAACAAGAGTTCAAGTATTGAAAATGATACCACTGCTATTTCCCAGAAAAATAAAGTATTAATAGATGAGGTTGATCGTAAGGAAGTAAATTTCAGTGCAGACCAAATAAGCAATAAGTATTCTATAAATGAGGACAACACAGAAAAAAATTTTACTGAGGGATGGCAAATAAGTGATGTCAACAATACATGCACAGAGAAAAACGGAACCTATTTTCTTCAATTGCTGAGAAACGAACAGAGTCGTCTCTTAGCATTGGCTGATATAGCGGAACAATATGCTATCGAGTTGTCGGTGTGTATATTTGTTTAATTCTTTTTATATTTAAATTTTCTTAGTCAAACTTGACCATGCAGTATTTTGATATCTTTAATTAATAATTTTAAGTTCATAAATTATTAGTTCTGTTCATTATTCTTCTCGCTTGTACTAATTTGTGCAAACTGTTATCTGTAAAATATAATGCGAGAGCACACATATAAATATATTAGAGGTGAAACGTACTATGAAAATTTTAGCCGGTAAGAATTAGCAAGCAAGGAAAACATAAAATTAGTGATGAATTGTATCAATCCTTATTAGACAACAAAACAAAGAGTAAAAAAATTAAAAAAACATCAAGATGCATATCAAAATTCGGAGAAAAGCTGTCCCGGAAATTTTAAATATGTATATATACTACCAGCAGACCCAGCGCCTCGTCTTAATTACATGCCATTATATTACATTAACAGTGATAATAAAATATACAAAGATAGTTCAAATCTGAATGTGAACTATATGAATGAACTCGAGCAGAAAGAAATATGGTAGTAGGCAAGCAAGAACGAAAACATAGATGGTTTGTTAACACGCGAACATAAGCAATTCTCGTAAAATTAATTAAATTAAACTATGCGGATCCAGATAAGAAGCAGCCCATACAAACGAAAATAAACAAAACAAAAACACAGTATTCTTAAGTGAAACTCCTTTGTAAGTTGGAGGCCTTAGTACAATTAAAACGAATTTTTTCGCGCTATTAAAAAGTGACTACAAAGTGTGGTACACCAAATTAAAGACATTTTTATAGTCTTTTTTAATTAACATTTTTTATGATTGATTTCTAACATAAAAGTAAAAAAAAAACTAAGTTTATTATAAAAATAGTATATTTTGTGTTACTGGATTTTTTCTAAAAGTATAAAAATATATACATCAGAAAATAAGAATTTTAGTCACCTTTCCAACGATACCACGATTTATAAGATTTGGTGTACAAGTTTTTGGGATACAGCTTTTTATGATTTTCGAAATTCACACCTTTGCCCCCCCTTAGCTACGAAAATGAAAGTCTGCCCCAAAAAAAATTTATATCATTAAAACTCTTAAATCAGAGCGGAACACGACTATTAATTCATGTTACGTTGACGTAAACGGGGTTCGGTCGCCGAAAGGGTGACAGCCCTTGGCCGGATAAAATCCGGGTCAACTCTGGTACGTAGAGCCGGCTGTCTTGAGAGTTGAAGACCCTGTATGCCCTGCATGTGGATATTTTCCGCACGACACTAACCACCTTTTCACATACCCCCTTAAACCAACTCAATCGAAACAGCTCGTTTCTTGGATCTCTCATTAGATGACCTCGGCGACTTAGATTAATCAAACCTATACCTAAGCGGGGTTAGCGAACCGCTACCTATTCTGCATAATTCCTTGAAATGACAATTGTCATAGCGCACGCTATGGCATTGCTCGTCTTTTACGCACGTAAATTCAAGGAGACGGATCCCTTATACGCACGGGCGTGCCTTCGAACAAAGCTTCAGTATAAATCAACGAATGATTCCATCTACTGGGTTATGGAATGGGCCGAGCCAATCACATATCTGCTCTGTGACCCTTGGTCCACTTCCGAGAATTTTTATATATTAATTCAAACCATATAAACGATTTTTTCGAATAGGTCGGTCCTAGATACTATTCCTCGAAACAAAAGTGATGTTTCTGCTAAACTAAGCAAATTTCAAGTAAATCGAACTATCAGTTCAGTTTTTTCGAATAGATCAGTTCCAGGCCCTCTTCCCGGTGTGAAAACTAAAAAATAATTGGTATTCTCAGACCTACTAAATATGCACATACTATTTCACTAGAATCGGTCACTTCGTTTAGGAGGAGTATGTTGTCTAACATTCTGACACGAGAATTTTGTATATTAGATATATGTGTAATATTTATTTTACCGTAATTTGTTGTCGACGTAATGAGTTACAAGAAAATACGAAACAACTTTGTTGCTACCGCCACAATGTCGGTAATACATTCTTAAGACTCCGAAGGCGATGATGATTTAGAAAATAAATCGAAAAAAGAGACTTCCGAGCTGATTTTCGTATTTGAAGAAGCCTTTTTGACGACGATTTTATACTGTTAAAACGAAGCATATAAAATTAAAGCATTGTTGAAAACAATTAAAATATAAGAACTATGTTATTGATCTTATTATCAAATTACTTCGAAGTGGAAAACAGTAAATCAACGTAATCAAATATTGTGATTAAATTACTAATGGACTAATAGCATCATAATAAAGACAGTATTACAAAGGCGGTTAATGTCAATATAGTTACAATTATGAGCATTGTTATTGTTGTTGTTGTTACTGTTATAATGGTTAGCTAGCTCCACTTAGGAACAAGATCAGTCTAAGTCATGGAGGTAATCTAACGGATGGTCGAGGAAACGACCTATTTCGACGGCTTCGGGGCAAAGAGAAATGGAGGTTAGATGAGTTGGTGTTAGGGGACATACAAAGGTATGGTTGATGTAGTGAAGGGACTCATTGCATGCAGAACATACGTTGGGTATGCCGAATCAAGTCTGGATAGGTAGGGATTTAGTCGACTACAATATCCAAATCTTAGTTGTGCCCAACAATTATAGGCTTCAAAGTGATATCATGAGTTCCCATATATGTACGTATATATGGAAAGCAATGAATGCTTATTACTGTTCATTTTTTGGTATGAACCAGACGAAATAAACAAGCTCTCCACCAAACGCTGCATGTAATGTGCTGTTTTCCTAGGAAAATTTTATAATGTATATATATATGTACATACTTTAAGTTAAATAATACATTTTTATCTTAGCAATAAGTTAGCATGCATTCCTTGCGAAAAAGTAAAACACTGATTTGAAATATATTTGTATAATTTCTTTTAGGGTAACCCCGAAATTTCTGAAGATACCTTAGGCTTTTTGCGCTCAGCCTATGGCAAGGCTCGTTTATTAGTATCACAAAAAATGAAGCAATTCGAAGGTAAGTGAAACTTCATTCATTTAGAGTTTTTATACTTCCACACAAACCAAAGCTAAAACAATAATATTAAAATATAAATATGTGTTTATAAATAGTATAAGCGAATTCCGCAAACTCCCGGATATAACATCGTATTAAAGTTACAAATGTAATAAATACTATAAAAATTGTATGTACTGTAAAAGTGAATTCCCAGAGAAAAAATTTTTTTTTGATGTTTTCATATTAAACCATGGTTGGAAAAAGGAATTAGTTTCACTCAAGCCGCCTGAAAATAATTTTATTCCTATTAGATTTCAGAGAATACCAAGGCGGGTTTATAGAAGGTGAAGTTGTCACATCATATGATTGCTTTTTCTTCCTTCCATTTCAAAAATTACACAAACAATATATATTGAACGAATTTCATTTTTAACTTTTCGAAACTATGATTACACAAACAAAATACATAGGCTTTTGATTTTTGTATTTTTGCTACTACCGTATGCTGAAGAATACAATGTATATATGTAATATATTTTTTTAATTTTAGAAAGTTGAATATTTATTTTATAAAAAAAGAAATTGGTAACGCAAAAATAAAGCGAAAGTCTTAAAATCTTTTTATGACAGATGGTTAATATTTTCGAAAAAAGTGTATTGTACCTTGTATTTTGTAAAATGGATTAAGCTATAAATAAGCTTGCAAAGCATAACCCCAATTACAAAGGAGACCGCAATATACGCAATTTATTACATACGAACATAATTTTACTCTGTGTTTGCTGTTGTGAAAATAATAAAAATTATATAAATATTTTCATACAACGATAAAAGAGACTTGGCTTTGTATATATTCGTAAAAACCATTTTTTAGTTAACATTACATACAGTGGTGAACTAAAGTATTGGCACAGCAAAATAGTTCAACTTTAACACCTTTTTTTTACCACTTATGAAAATTGTTTCAACACCGAAAAAAAATGCTAGACAGAGGGACACATTTTCAACTATTTTCACTTCAATTCATTTTATTATCTTTTGTGTTAAATTAATACTACTTATAATTGAAAATTATAAAAAAAAGGTAAAATATTACGGAATTGAATTTTGTAGCCAAGCCTTTATGTTTGATGACAGCTTCCGAAAAATTTTGCATCGGTGATACCAATTTTTGTGTGGTTTCTGCACCAATTCTCTGCCATTACTCCACCAGTGTCAGTTTCAACGCTTGTTGATGCAGCGCGCCTATCCAGCTCTTCCCACAAATTTTCAATTGGGTTCAGATCAGGCGATTGGGGCGGATGCGGCAGTGTATGTTTAATGTGGTGGGCAAGCCACAATGTTAAATGTTAATGACTCTGGAAATTTAAGTTTTTCAGCTCTTTTTTGACATTCCTCTTAAGAATTTCCTTATAGAATTTTTTGTCCATAATGCCGTCAATGAATTCCAGCTAGCCCACATCTACAGCACCATACAATGACTCCACTACCATGTTTTATAGTCACTGAAAGGTTCTCTTTTTGAAGTTCAGTCTTGGGTTTCCTCCATACAGTTTGACGGCTATCACATTAAAATTCGTTTACTTTCATCCGAGGATATACATTGTACCATAAGTAAATTGGTTTGCTTAGGTACTCATTAGCATAGGCTAAACTTTTCCATTGGCTCACCTGTGAAATTAGAGGTCTGCGTCTAGCTGCACGGGAATGAAAGTTGGTTTCACGCAATGCTCTCCGGACCGTTATCGTAGGAATAACTTTTCCCAACTCTTACTTAATTTTCGCTGCGATTTGTGTGGGAGATAACCTTGGGTTTCTTTTTACCTTTCTTACTATCTGGCAGCGTTCGCGGTGAGATACGTTAGTCTCACTTTTTTTTGCCACTCATAAAAAAAAACGCAATTGCTTATGAAGACATAACGGGACTTTTGAAATAAAGTTGCTAGATCAATAAAATTTTAGCGAAATATATATATAATTGGCGCTTTTGTAACCGCTGAAGTGATTTATCGGCCGAGCTCCTTCTCCAATTTGTGTTTTGATGTTTTTCCAACAAACCTACAGCTTATACCAAGCCGTCTCCGAACGGCTGATGGTTTTTTACGAGAAACCTTTCTTTCATGCCCGAAATACACCCGGAGGAGTGGACATTCCCTGCCGAGAGGCGACCACCATTAGAAAACTTAACTTAATTTTTTATTTAAACTAATTTTCCAAAACTTTCGGATGTTGGTGGTACCTGGATTTGAGCCTGAGCCTTCCGAATGTCAGTACGCAATGCTCACCACTTGGCTACCGCGGCCGCATAGCGAAATAGCCCATTGAAATTTAAGTATGCCAATACTTTTGTTTGGTGAAAACTAGTATTTTTTTATTTATAATTAAATAATAAAATGAATTGAAGTAAAAATAGTTGAAAATGTGTCCCTTTGTCTAGATTTTTTTTCCAAAATTAAATATAGTTTCATAAGTGGTCAAAAGAAGGTGTCAAAGTTGAATTATCTTCCTGTGCCGATACTTCAGTTCATCACCGTGTGTCAGGAATGCATCAGGTCATATCCCGTCATCTCGTTGTTTCCCATAACTTTCTTAGGGCCAAAATGACAAATGTGATGTGGACGTCATTCTCTCTTCGTTTCCTTATCGTCATTCTTGTCGGACAAAAAGAACATAGTTTTCTTTAATAGCCATGCGTTGCGTGACGCCCCTATCATAGTCGCGACTCCTTTGAAATTTAAAGACGTCTAAATAAAATAAGAAATGCACAGGATCCTTTCCATATTTTTTACTTCTATCTGCTACAGAGTAAACGATAAAAATTGTAGAACGCATTTTGTATGTACTCAGAAGGGAAAGATGAACTAAAAACTTGCTTATGTGTTAGTGCTGTACGAAATCTTGTGAGTTTATTGGTCAACTCACCAGCCTGTTCTTGCAGGGAAAACTCGAGGCAAGAGGTGCTTCGAAAGTTAAAAAAAGAAAAAGTGGAAATGGCTTCTAATTTTCTAATCGTTTAATAAAGAATTTGAAGATAACAAAAATTAACTGACGGACACAGAACAGAAAAACGGAAACCAAACAGAAGGCGTTGAGTACAATTTTCGAAAGAAACTTAAGGCTGATTCACATAAAATCTGCTTCCCCTTGATTAACAGATGAAACTCACTACGGAGCAAAGCAAGCCGAAATTACCTGACATTTTTTTTATTTTTGTTTTTGAATGACTTTGTGAAATAACAGATTTTAAATTAACCAATCTCAAACATTGGTCTAGCGAAATCCCTTATATTTGGAAGTCGTGTCATATATGTAAGTGCGATTGCATTACGCTATGTGGCGTTAGAACCATGATATTTTGTGATAAAAAACATAAAGGGAAAAAGTTTTGATCACTTAACTCAGAAGTGCTTGTGCGCATGTCAAAGAGAAAATGCACAATATTCTACAATTTATTCAATAAAGGCGAAAAGGCGAAAAGTGTTGCTACTTTAACCAGTCAATCTTGCACAATTTCGACTTCGTCCATTTCGTTTCGATAATTTTCACTTAAAAGATGTTCCACGACATGGAATGCTAATTGTCGATAACGTCGAGTCTGACTGTAATGTAAGCACGAGCACTGTTTGATTACTCAAGAGCCAAACATTGCACACAGAACAGTTTGGAACCACTTGAGTTGAGCAAATTGCTGCTAAATCATAACAAAATCTACTTGTTTTTGATGCGGATGGTGACTGGATCACTTACTACAGCAACGTCAACGAAAACAGTCATGGGCGAAGTGCAAAACACTCTCCAAACTAGGCCAAACTCTTGATTCGTACTTGTACTGCCAGTAATTGGACTTTATGAAGGATACACATCAATAGTGACTTGCTAGAAGCTCCGAGAGCTTGGTTGGAAAGTTAGTGTGCATCCGCCTTATGGTTCGGACCTTGCACCAAGTGATCTGCTCCTGTCTGTGGAAGAGAAGTCTGTGAAAACCGATTGCCAAATTGTTGCCAATAGGAGCATATGTACATAGTTTTCAATTAGAGAGGCAAAATCAAAATGCCAAAAAATTATCGTGCAAAACGGAGCATATTTTACATAAACGGGTAATTGTAATAATTTCTTTGGCCAACACGAATCCAGAAAGATGTAGATCCTTTATCTTGTGGAGCTTGGAAAAACTATAGATCTTCCCTTTCTCTGTACATACAAAACCCAACTGTGAATGATGAATTGGTGAAAACTAGCTCCTCGATCAAGAAGCTGTACCCATCTTTACAAACTTTGAGCCGTCTCGTTGAAAAAGCGGGCCTCCAATAAACATGAGCATGAAACTATCATTCCACTGCAGCGCCTTCCTACCAGAACTGTTTGTAATCATGGAAACCGCCAAGTGGTGATCAATTTTACGGTCGAAAGCTAAATAGCCATAAGATCTTCACAGGGTAATAGTACCACATCAAAAGTGACTATTTAAGACTCACGAAATGGCTCGAAAATTTGAAAATGTGAATATAAGAACCTCATAGTGGTATCATAACGGCCTATTGATCTAAGTGTGTTGATTAATACCCGTATACCCGTAACAACTCAGCTTAGCCACGCAAATCAAATTTGAAAATTTTTACGTTTTCAATTAGAAATTCAATTTATATGTAATCAAATGAAAAACAAAGTATAAAGAAAAATACAAAACAAACAAACATTTTGACAGCCTTTACACTGAAGCGAATTAATTAAATAAAAAAAGTTGAATTTGCAGCTCTAGTAACTCCACCTTGATGAATTCTCCTTGCAGTTTTATTTTCACTTTTCTGTGAAGCTTAAATATCATGTAATGCTTTAAAAAATTTATGAAGCTTGAAAGTTGAATGCTCGGCAATATTTGCTTCGCCTCGCCGAAATCACTTTTTACGTGTTCTTACTCGTATAAATGCATACTTCAAACATATCTGTCAAACTGTCGAGGTAGGACTAGTCAAAACTCTTGTGTCAAATTATCGTTGGTGAAAAGGTGGCCGTAGTGGTAGCGACAGCGACATGTATATTTTCATTAGTGCCAAATAAACATTTTATTTAATTTATTAATAAGATATTTTCATGTTACAATACGAAGGTTAGTTTATTCATAGAATATGCAAAATCTTGCTTCTTGTATTATTTATTGAACTTTGACGTTGTAAAAACTATACCGCAAAGCGCTTAATCGATTACTAAATACCAAGTTCTTTTGTGGAGGAAATTTCTCATTGCTTGGTCAACATGAATGTGCGAATGTTTTTTTTTTTTTGGTGACCGTTAAGTCAAAAGCTAAAAGAACGAAACAATTGCTGGTTTGAATTCCAAATCGGGGATGTTTTGTTTTAGTAAAAAGTTAGCCATTTATGAAAATGGATCACTTAACATTTTCACAAAGAATTAAAATTGTTAAAACCTAGTAAACGTGGCCACGTTTTGTGCTTTAAGAGGAGATTATGGTGCACATGATCGTTCAATTAGATATTGTAAGGCATGTGCATTATCGTTTTGCTCAATACTGTAAGAGAAAGTGTATCCGAATATCTATGCTCAAGAGCTGAGACTTCCTTACAGCACATAAGGGGTATTTACTTGGAGCTCCGATAATCCATCTCAAAAGAAGTCATTACACCCAAAGAAAAATTGACTGCTTGGTGGGCTTTTTGGTTCTTTGAAAATGACAACGGTAAGACTGCCACTGCTAATTTGGAGCATTATAGGCGTATGGTATCCGATTTTTTTTCGGCCTGCACTTGAAGAGCTCGACTTGGGCAGTGCGTGGTTTCTATAACACAAGCGAATGTGGCTCAAATATTCGCAGTTTTGCAAAAATTTGCGATGCGGCCAATGGAATGAATAGTGTATCACACATTATACCAATAATAAATAATACATTAATGAAAGAAATTATTTTAAAAGCATTTTATTTACGGTGGTTTTCTAAGCCGCAAAAAGGATAACCCTGTACATTTCTTTTATATATCATGGTCACATTGTTTCTTCGTAAATTAATTTGAGGCGTATTAAAAAATCGTTTACAATTTATAAATGATTGAAGTACTCTTCTCTTGACCAGCAGTATGTACATGCATAAATACATATATCTTCTACATATGTTTGTATATGTACAGAGTGCGCCATCTAGACCTTCTGTATTTCAAAATTGAATAATTCTCTGGGGTTTTAGTCGATTTTGACAATACTAGTCAATACTCACCAAAAGAATGCGCTGAAATCATAGCACTTTACATTGAAAACAATCGTTCAGTTGTGTGCAAACCGTAAATCAAGTCTACTATTGCCAAGTACTCCAAAGATTTCGAAAACGTGTTTAAAGGGGGCGCCCAGACATCCTTCATCACGACAACGCGTTGTGCCACACCGCCCTCAGCGTGTCCCAGTATTTGGCCTCTAAAGGGATCGACGTGTTACAACAACCGCCTTATTTGCCCGATATGTCACCCTGTGACTTTTATGTTCTCTGGAACGAAATTGATAGTCAAAGGAACCCATTTTGAGTCGATTGAGGACATCCAGGCGGCCATGACGAGAGTGCTCGCAGACATCCCAGCCGAAGTTCTGGAAGCATGGATAACGCGCTGGAATCGAAGAGGATGGCAGAGTTGTAGAATAATTTTGAAATATACGGTTTTTATGGCTTACTTAATTGTCACACCTCGTGTGTACGTGGGAAAAAAGCTGCTTTTTGGTTTTTGTATGATTCGAAATAAATGGCAAAGTATAGCCTGAATAAATCTTTCTCATTTGTCATAATCGGCTAAGACCCGACAAAGTTATTCACTGTTGAAATACCGAAGGTCTAGATTGCGCATCCGGTATGTACATATATCTTATAAAGGGTGATTTTTTTTAGCTGTTACGTGCCTGTATCACTGTCAAACATCTTCTGATGGGTCTATAATTTAACCCTGAATAGGCTTACAAACAAACAACGCTCGCGAATTATTGAATTTTATTATCAAAATGCGTGCTCTGTTAAGAAAGTTCATCGCTCCGAACCTCATTTTCGGCTTAATGGGTGCGTAAATAGCAGAATTGTCGATTTTGGAGTGAAGATCAGCCAGAAGCATTGCAAGAGCTAGCAATTCATCCAGAAAAAGTCACAGTTTGATGCGGTTTATGGGCTGGTGGCATGAAATAGTCTTCAAACATTAAATTATATGGACCGTGCTATCGATTCAATAAAGATTTCATGCATTTTTCTGAATATATGTTTTTTTTTAACTTACATAAAGCTCTTAAAAAATCACCCTTTATATACATATTTACATATACATACATACATTTTCATATGTATATTATAAAATATAATTGGCGATGGGTTTTTATGAGGAGGTTTTATTTCACGTCAGAAATGTATTAAAATATAATTTTATACCCCTCTTGTTGTATTTTTGAATTGAAAACTCAACATACAGTTAAATGTTGGAATGAGTACAAAGTGTATTTTTAAACATACAAATGTGATTTTAATCTTACTGCTATGATAAAAAGTAAAATTTTATGTCGGAAACTCAAAAATTATCTATTACAGGTCTTTGCCAAAATAACCTGAACTCATCTCCTGACGATAAGTTTCCTACTACAAATGATGATCTTCAAGGATTTTGGGATATGGTGTATTTGCAAGTGGATCACATTAACTCAATATTTGATGAAATTAATGTACTAAAGGAAAATAACTGGAAGGTATATAAACAATTTATTTATAGCCGTAAAAGGGAGTCGTACTTAATATAGTTTTGTAATTATAGAAATCCGATGAAATTATACCTAAGGAAAAGACTAAATTATCAAAACCTCAACCAAAATCCACAAAGACTCCAAGCCAAAAGACAAAGTCCAGTACTACTAATGGAAACGAATCTAAAGAAAAGTCATCTTTGTCGGCCGCCGCTTTGAAAAGAGAATCGCAAAGAAAAATGCTGCTGGAAATGAAGCGTAAAAATAAAATCGCTTTGTCTGCTAAATCAACTACCTCTGATCTAAATTCTGTTGAACCGAATGTCGAAAATGTGGATACCGTAGAGATATTTGTCAAAAATAGCAAATGAAAATTTGTTAATGATTGAGTTGCTCTTACTAATCTTTACTAGTCCTATAACAAAATCAAGTGAGCCGTAAGCCCCATGACAAACATACATATATCATCATAAATAAATCGCTTTGACTAATTTTTGTTTCATATCAAACTGATAACGAACTTATACACCAATAATACTCTCTTTTGTAGGCTAATCATACATATTTATAAAAGCAGTGTGCTGTCGAAATAGTGAGGTAGAAGTACGCAAACTCGAATAACTTTTTAGTATATATATGCTTTTGAAAGATTCTAAATCTGTTAGACGGAAAATGCAATATAAATCATCCACTTCTCTTTCGCTTTAAAATAGATTATATCGAGCCAAATTCATAGTTTTCAAATTAGATAAATTATATTTACTGTTACAAACTTAGTGCTACTATAAATTGTTTGAACTGGTTGACATCTTATATACGCACTGTACATACATTTTTGATATTTTTATATTAATGGATTTATCATATGAATTTAGCGTGTTTGTCACATGATAATTATTAACTAAAAAAGACATTTATTTTATTAAAATTTAAAATGTGTGAAATTAATTATATCAGTTGAATATTACGTCGGCTTATATAAATTTAATTGCAAGAAAAGGGGGCTTAAAAAGAATTTTACTTATTGGAAGTGAAAATGCGCACACAATACGAGTTAAAAATAATGCTCGAGCATTGCTGAATAAATTCATCAACGATTCCGGATAAATAATCCTGCTTTCAACTACAATATGTCCAATGGAAATTAATTTTAAATGTTATTACAGGTGGTGCCATGCTTTCACTTTATTAGAGTGTTGACAATCAGCCTAATATTGGTAGCCGTTCTGTCGGATTTACGAACCGATACTGCTATTGTTTGGTTTTATGAAATGTATTGGCTTTGCTATTTTTCAACGACGGATATTTCAAATTGAAATAATTTTCAAAAAATGTATCTAAATTCAGTTGGCGTAAAATGACATCTGTGGTTGTAGAATACCCGTAATTGTCCCGAGATGTTGAAGATTTAAAGCTTGACAGAATTCAAATTGAGCTAAAACAACTCGAAAGTATTTACATATATTTATTTCGTCTCTTTTATCAGCTTAAAGTATTGTTCGGTGAACAATTGGAATGCTAAGATTACGAGTTCAAGCACGAATAAGTAGGAATTAAGCCGACTTTAATTGTTCCAGTATTACTCGGTCGTCTCAAGGGCAGCTCGATCTCTCGGTATGTAGTAGGTGGGGCTTGGGTTCCGAGAATGGAATTCTCAGAAAAATAGTTCATGGTGTTCATGGACAATCAGGGAATGGCGTTTAAAGCCTCTCGGTATTCCGTCGTGTCCAGTGGTTCTATATCTTAATTGCTGTAAGGAACCGCTTATGGAACTTCTGGCATTAATCTGCAAAAAGCCGAACCAAGTGCGATTTTATAGCCCCGCAATTTTTAAAAGTTTTGCTGTTTAATGTGTTCTGTAAAGATCGAATCAATTGGTAGTCAGGGCTATCAACAGTTCCCAGTCAAGCTCTCAGTTTTTGGCGAGTGACCGAATATAATTATATGTGCGGTCTAGCATTGTCCTGGTGAAATATGACACCTTTACTATTGACTAATTCTGGCCACTTGATGAATGTATTCAATTTGTCTAGTTGTTCACATTAGACATCCGAATTAATCGTTTGGTTCCTTGGAAGCAGTTCAAAATATACCACAACCTTCCAATTCGATCAAAATGACAGCGTAATCTTATTTTGGTGAATTTAAGCGTTTGAAATGGTTTGTGGCGCTTCATCAGGCTTAGACCACGACCGTTTTCATTTTTCATCTCCAATTATGATTTGCTTCAAAAACGCATCATATTCATTGCGTTATGAATATCAAGTTCTTTTACCAGTCCAAGACGTCGTATATGATTATGAACCGCTGATTTTGGATACTTAACATCTCTCCAATCTCACGCTCAGTTACATGACGATCCGATTCGATTAAAGCCTTGATATCATCATCATCAACTTCACTTGGCTTACTTTGTTTCTAAAGCAAGCTGTAAGTGACAGCTTACAACAGTGGAAAGAAAAAATACAATTAAATAGTCAAAAGCTGTACAAAAAAATTACCAACGCTGTCTGTATGAAAAATCGGGGGTTTCTTTTGGGGTAGCGCAATATCGGCGGCGTACGCTACAGCAGGATACTCTTATAGAAGATTGAACCTTCTATATTCGGTTCTGCAGCTTCTGTTATTTTCTCCAGCAATAAATAATTTAGGCCCCACGATAAGGAATTACCCTGTCTGAAGCCGCGTTTGGTATCGAACGGCTTGTAGAGGTCCTTCCCGATTCTGACAGAGCTTGTTGATTTACCAGGGGTAAAGCAGCATTGATAAGGTCCAATCAGTTTGTTAGTGGTGGACTTGCACAATACTTCGAAAGGATCTTATATGCGATATTAAGGAGGTTTATCCTACGCTAGCTGGCGCATTCTGTGGGGTCCTCTTTTTTTATAGATTGGGCAAAGCACACTTAAATTCCAATCGATGCATGTACCTTGTCAGCTCTTCCCTGCCATGTTTGAATAGCTTTGTCGGTAGGCCGTAAGCTCCAGGCGTCCTGTTCTTTGACCGATTGGGGTTTCGGGTTCACCATCTCTGGGTGTTTTATTTTAACTGAATTTCAGCAGGATGGAGAAATAGGGTGAGTCTCAAAAAGCGTCAGTTGCAAAGCAACCATACATTCCCTGGCATTCCTAAAAGCAACTATGAAAACTTTGACTTTGTTTCAAAATCGGTAAAGTTATTCATGCGCAAATAAAAGCAATTTCGCATCGTTAAGATTTTTGCTGCTTTGAATAGAATTACCGTGTACTTTTTAAACTTGAATTAAAAAAATTATGTTTTTTAAAAAATTGTACAAATATATTGAAAGCATATATAATTTACTTTGATTTACCTTTGGTTCTACCTCATGAGCTTAAATCGCTTTCGTGATATTCTAAATTGAAGACGATTGCTTTTAGTGTACAAGTTTTTTTTTTTTTTGGTTCACTGTATATATACAATATATATATATTTTTTGTTTTTTGACAAAGTCTAGTGAAACAAAACCATGCTTTCTCTGGCAGGGGGAGGGTTTTCACAGGAATGGAAAGAGAGGGAAACCACCCCCACAAGTACTAAATCACTTATAATATTTTAATTTTTTGTTATCACCGTTTTGTTGACGAAAATGTACCCATATGAATTCAAATCATACCTATACCAGTACGTAATTGGAACTTCCTCTACCAATTTACCAAAAATTGTTACTGGCAAGCAACACAAAAAACAAAACTAATGTAAAAACTTGAGACGAATATAATTTGAGTTGAATTTTTATAATCTGATCAGGATGCAACAAAATCCTGATTTCGCCAAAAAAAATAGCTATATATGAATGACTAGAAAATTGTTTTGGTGATAAAACTAGTAAAAATCGACGCTGTCATCTAACAGGGTACAAAGGGAAAGTATTGTTTCATCCAGAGGGAAAGACGTATTTAATAAGTTAATTGCTGCTTTAAGTAGTAATGAGATTTGCAGTGTGACGATTAAAAGTACATACAGTGGCCCACAGACAAAGTGATGCAGCTCTCTAAGGAATAGTATAATAAGTTTTATCTAAAATTTAAATAAATTTCCCAAAAAAACATGAACGCCAGTTAATATCCGCAGATATACATGTTTCATTGATGCTCTAAAAATTTTATATTTTAAGTAATTTACAACAAAAACAAGCTTCAGTATTGAATTGTACCTTACCGCAAATGTGATGCGCAAAGATTTACCGTTAGTTTAGCGGCGTCTTGTCGACGATTTTTCAATGCAAAATAAATACTATTATAATCGCGAGCAAACCTGGTGTACTATGAGATAATTTTGACATTATAGTATTGATATTGGTTGATTGTAGATAAAAATTGTTGTTTGACGAAACAAGTATTGAAGTGTGAGATTTAATCCTAAAACATTATAAAGTTGGTAAAAGTCAGCGTAAAATCACGGAAATGGTGAAATTGAGCCACGGAACTGTTCAACATTGAACATTGAACGCGATGTTCATGAAAGTCGTGGGTTAAATAAGACTAAAACGGCTCATGATAAAATATTTAAGAAAGTGATTCCCGATGGATTGTGCAAGGCTGAAGTTTGCAAAGAAGCATTTATATACAGATGAAAGTTTCTGGGACACCGTATTTTTCGCGGACCTGTTTAGATCAGATGGAAAGAGCTATGTATGGAGAAAAAAAAATGCTGCGTTGCAACCTCAAAATTTACGTAGCACTGTAAAACATGGTGGAGGGCATGTGATGACATGGGGATGCATGTCATCATATGGAGTTGGAGATTTGGATTTCATCAATAGTACTATGGGTAATACTGTGGGTTTGGACATTTTAAAAAGAAATTTGTTGCAAAGTGCCCTTAAATTAAACATTCGTGACAAGTTTCGGTACTATCTCGATAATGATCCGAACACAAATCTGGCCTTGTGCAAAGTTTTGTTATTTGGAATGCACATACCCCAGCGCAGTGTCCAGATTTGAATGTGATTGAGAATCTGTGGTCACTTTTGGAATGAGAGATTCGAAAATATGAGATTCGAAATCAAGCTGACTTAAAAACGCCGTACAAACAGAATGGAACAATAGTGCTCATAATTACACGAAGAAGTTTGTGGAATCCATGCCCAAAAGTATGAAAGCAGTCGTATAGATAGCAATGGTATCATACTAAAAATAAATAAATATATAATTTTAGGTTTGTTCTTTAAAAAAACGAAATTTATTAATTTTTTTGTTACTGCATCATTTTCGCTGTGAGGTACAATTTAATAGTGAAATTTGCTTTCGTTGCTAATTACAAATAAATATATTTTAAAGCATAAATGAAATGTGTATAGCTTTCGCTATTAACTGACATTCATGTTTTTTGGAAAACTTATTATACTTTTAAGTAAAACCTATTATACCATTGTACGTTGGATATGTTGATAGGAGGACATTGCCGTTTACATTTTAAGCTTAGTTTAATTATTCAGGTTACTATTTGATTTAAACACCTTAAAATTTATATATATATATTAATAATAAAATTCAGCCCGTCGCCGGCAGCATTTTTCTTCCTCTCACTTCCTTCTATTATGGTTGGTCGTTGTTTTTCAGTTTGGTCCTGCTTGAAATACTTGGCGTTCTATAAGCAATTGTCTCATGGATCAATTTACATGTGGTAGAGACTAGAGAAAAAGAAGCTATGATTTTTTTTTAGACAGGCTTTTCTAGCAAGAAAATCCATACTTACATGTTTACTATAACTAAGTAAAATATATGATTGTAATCAAAACAATAAACTTTTGGTTTACATTTACAGCAATAAAAAAATCTGCATTTCTTATCTATTATTTAAATCCAAACAGATAAACAATCAAAAGTAAATTTTTGAATTGCAAGCAATTTTTCATCGGCCTCAACAAGCTAACTTTGTTTGTTATTCGTGCTACTTTTGACCCTGCAATAAGATCATTCACGTATTATCTTTTTTATTATATGTTTCAATTGGGTATTGGACAACTCTCAAGGAATTACAATTACCATCAAAAAATAATCATCAGTACAACTCACCTGTTTTACAATTGCGTGTGGAGTACTCTAAGCACTTGACATAGATTACGTTACCATACCAGCTGTCATTTCGTCACAAAATTGCAAGCGATTTGATTGCTCATATGGACAGTTTCATTGCTTAACACAATCGTTTGTAACATGGCGTGAAACAATGCATGTGTGCTGTATTAAAGCCTTTAAACATTTAGAAATACCAGAGGAACAATTTTTTATACTCATTTAATCTTAAAATATCAATTATATTGCCATTAACAAGCTTTCGCGTAAATGAAATATTTGTTGTCAAAGTAAAAATGTGACAGTCTGAAATATTATATATTGCTGGCCATTGGCGATTGCCGATATTCATGGACAGTTTATGTTGTGACATGTGCCTTTTCGTCACTCTTGTCGGACAAAAAGAACACAGATGAGTGAAAGCATTGATGCCGAAGTAACTCAGCTTTGAAAGAAATGTTCCCTACATACATACGAGTATATACATACATATAAACATTATTAGGATTCAGTATTTATTCCAATATTTTGCTGGTGCAACCAACATCCAAAATTTATAGAAAATTAATTTAAATAAAAAATTAAGTTAAATTTTCTAATTTCTGCCGCCTTTCGGCAGTGAATGTCAACCCCTCCGAGCGTATTTATGACATTAAATAAAAAGCTGCTCATAAAATACCATCAACCGTTTGAAGGCGGTTTACAGGCTTATTCTCACTGTTACCGGTCAAGTAAATTTTGTTACTGAATGAAAACGTTATCTTACAATTAAAGGGCTATTTTTTAGTCTCGAAAACTTCTTAAATTATGGCTTTTTGCATTTTTTTCTTCATTTTCAATGAATTCCAGGCCTAAAATATGCCTACCCATTTTGGTATTTTATTTTTTCTCAAACTTACAACACAAAACCAAACAGCAGACATTTTTGTTACCTCCTGTTTCGCTGGTAACAAAATTTACATGGTGACAGTGAACTTAGAATACGAAATGGTAACAAAATTTACTGAATGGTAAATTTTAATACCTAGGTAAATTTTGTTACCTCGACAGAATAGGCCTGTTAGTATAAACTTGGAGGAGGAGCTTGTCCGACAACAATAAATTCGATTTCAAAAATCAGCAAAATATTGTAAGCAAATCCGTATATGCAGAGGACTTTAATAGTACAAAGCGTTGGTGACGTAGCTGCTTAGCCTACGAACGCCTCCAGCATAATCGGGACTCTTTTGAAATTTAAAGACGCCTAAGTAAAATAAGAAATGAATGTTCGAATCAGAATGTAACTAAATCTAAATGCAGTTGTTCCTCGAAAAGTTGTGTTGAATATTTTTAGATCTGATACTGTTGCGAGGTGAGAAACATCCATTCCAATCAATTTGCTCCATTAGCTGAATTTACTGTACAATATGGGTTAAAAAATCGAAAATAAAATGGAAAGAGAATTAAAAATGAGGTAGTTAATTAATCGATAATATATCATAACCACAGCTTGCACAGGTTCCTTATCTATTAATAACAAAATAAAAGAGATAATCCGTTTAGCTGCATTTCTTTCAATTTGTATGTGCTCAGAAGAGAAGGCTAAACAAAACAACTCGCTTATCTAGTAGAGGTCCCCGAAATTGTGTGAGTGTATTGGTGAATCCATCAGCCCGTTCTTGCAGGGTGATGGCTTTCTTAGTTTCAGACTCCCCAGGTACGGCTAAAAATATCTTGCTGCTGTACTCATCATGACGTAAGGTTCAACTTTTGCAGATGGCCGGTTGCTGTTGCATCCTTTTCCTGTCTGCTAATATATATTTATCATTTCATTGAATTAGCAACGGAAACTTCGTTTTGAAAATAGAGATCTGCCGATTCCTTGATCGTGGCAATTTTGGGTTGGAGAATTGCGGATCATCAATGTGTGTATCCATGACAACGTTCCCTATTTCTAGGAAATAACTCAAACTATTGCATTGCAGTTGTCTACATATTCAATAGAGATCAGCGTCACTCAGCTACCGAAGTTTTGTCTCTGAGAAAATTTTGTATAAGTTCTCTAAAACAATCCATACATCTTAATTTCGATTTTTTATATTTTCAGTAATGTATGGTTGTGATACAAACAAGAAAATTGCATATTTGGTAAAAATGTATCTTAAGCGATTATTTATTCACTATGAATTATATAATAATAAATAAACGTAATATAGTATATACAAGAAATACATGCTAAACATTTTTAGTTGTATAATAGATATGGATCTAATTGTTTTATAAAGTACATACATACATATGTAGTAAACGTACACAGGATTTTACAATATAGTGGGGTGTTGGTTTTTTTGGGATTTAGCTATCAAATTTATTGGTTAACATAGTTGACAAAATAAGGAACTACATACATACATAAATAAAAGAATAATTCAATTGACCAGATTAAAATAAACTTAAATTAATTACTGACAAGAAATATTCATAAATTCATACAAATCTCCGTATAAATATACAATTATCCTTACATACAAATTATACATATGTATATGTATATATGTGTCTTTATGAGTTTTAAGGAGTTAAAAAAAAAAACAAGAATTAAAACAAATTAAACAAATTATTGACTAGTAAAAGAGTTCATTGAAAGACATACTCAATACATAGCAAACCACTGATATATACATATATAAATATTTATATGTGTACATATACATACATACGTAGCATGTTTAGAATGAGAAGAAATACTACAACTGCGTATTGCGCAATCAATTTACCTTTACTCGAAAGTAAAAGACAGAATAAGCCTGAACTCCTTAAAATTCAAATAGAAAAATCATATGTATGTACATATTACTTAATAAGAATAATAAATACCTCTGTTCGGTGAGAAATGTCAGAAAACATTAGCTAGTAACGAAATGTCAAAATTGCACTCCTTCGGTGCGATGTTTTCTCGGTTTTTTTTGCCTAACCCAACTCGGTTCACTAAAAATTAGTAGCAATTGATATTGCCCACCAGCTCACTGAACAGGACTGATATCGATTTCAGTTTTTGAAAAAAACATCCTGCAAAATATTTCCATCTCAGTTAAATAAATAAAAGATTACGGAAACCGTAAAATGATTACTCTGACAAAGCAAAGCTTTGAATTATGACCAAAGGGAAAGGTGAATAAGCGAATGTAAGTGGGCTTTGATCTTGAAACAACCGACTCGCTTTATAGATAAATGTGTCCATAAATAAGCGTCCGTTGGTCTCAATGGTTTGAGAAAGTCTATCAGACTTATATAAGCAAGCAAGAAATGTTAAGTAAGAATCGAAAATTTTGATTTTTTGTTGTTGTATAATAATTACGGCGTTTTCTTTCATACATACGTATATGTTTATGTACATAATTATATATATATATAGAGGTATATATATGTGTATATGCATGTATGCCTTGATTAATACAATTTTTAATTGTTAAATTGTTATTAAAAAGAAGGAGAATTAGTAACTCATACACATATATATGTAAATATACGAATTTATACTTCAAAAGTTCTTCAAATTATGAAATTGAAATTCTGCCCTAATTGAACATAGTTGTATCTAAAGTTCTGTAAAGGTACTTAAGTTAGAATTATTTTATGCAATACACATATTTTCTTACATACATACAAATGTACATATGTTCATATATTAACTTTAAGAAGTCAAATGTGCTAGAAATAACAAGTTCAGATATAATAATCTGTTTATATTTCTTCATCTACAATATTAATTAGTCTTAATACAATTACAAAAAATATTAGCCCATGCATATATGTATGTATGTATATCAGATTGTTCCGATTGTGTTAGTCGTATTTTAAATTTGTAAAGTTGTATCTATATAAGAGTGTGTGTACATACCCTGCAATGAAGAGCGAACATTTATTTCAAACTTTTAGGAATTTAACTAGTATACGGACGATAAATGACCGACTATTGGCATTAACTAGAATGTCGCCACGTTGAAACAAAGAAGGAAGTCTTAGTTCGGTTACCAAACATTAGATACCCGATTGTTAGTTGGTAGTCATTCGTGTCAGCGTGGTGAAAACAGTTACTGAAAGCAAATGAAAAGCCTTGACAACAGCTAACAAAAAAAAAAAAAAAAAATTATAAAAAATAAAGCTACGAGGCGTTTTGCAAACATATTATTTATTGTATTGTATTCCGGCGTTTTATTTTTACCCAAAACCTCATATCAGACAAATCGGTTAATTGAGATACAGCCGCCGATTTCTAAGATTTTTAACGAATTTTTCTTCATCCATCTTATTTTAAAAAAAATTCTGTTGCTGACATGACCATCAGTGAACCTCAATGAGACTGTCGGGCATTCGGCGTGCGATGAGGCGTTCATATTCAAAATTTTAAGCATGATTCTGATAATCGGAAAATCGAAACATTGCCTATTTCTTTTAAGGTCGAAAATTTTAATAACCACACTTAGTCAGTGCACGCTTACAGCTTGTTTAGCAGGGTATGTTCACTAATGTTCCGGTATTGGTTTAAACTAATTTGCTCGTGTACGTATTTGAATTCAATTATAAGACTATGCGATATTGAATTTCTGGATACATTCGCTGCAGAACTTAATAAATACAATTCCAATGAGTTATATAGTATTTTGTGTATTGCCGTGGATTGTATTTATATACATATGTACATATGTATGTAAATATGTATCTACTTGCAGATTTATGCTGACATGAGCGTTTGTTATTTAACATACATACATATGAATTATATGTATGATTGTATTGTGTGGAAGTGTATAAACGCATGAGTGCGTGTGTAGGCGGTGAATTCCCTGCCGTGATTTCTCCTTTACATTGGACTGGTGCGCTTGCGGAAAAGCTAGTGCTTTAAACTACAGCTACAACTACGGCTGTTACATTTATAAAGCAGCAATATATATGTACAAATGTATGTATGTTATTATCTATTTTAGCTCAAAGCTCGCTGTGCGATAACTGCAGCGAACACCACTGCTACTCGAGTGTATGTTGAGGGGAACCGCTACCGCCACCCATCATGAAAGTAGTAGGACTATGCGCCGAGATGCTGTCTAGGTCCAATGACCCTTCGCCCTTCTCCAGCATATTGGAACCATCTTGCTTCATCATCATGCGACGCCATTTTGCTCTAGCGTTTTGAAACCATACCTACAAAAAAATTGAGATTGAAATTAAAAAGCCATTATATATATTTATAATACCATATGTATGCATATACGAGTACATAATTGGAGTAATGGTATATTTAGAGTTAAAATTGTGAAATAAATAAAATAACATTCACCCGTCTTACCAATAATGGTAACAAACAAGTACATCCACGAATATTTTTAATTGGAAAGAAAATTTACCCTACTCGTATAGGGTATGTACATATGAATCATTCATATTTATGTACATGTAGTATGATTTGTGAATTTTGATTCATGCTTTGGCACTTGATTTTATTCTTGCAATTGAACGTCATTACCATTAAAATGAAGTATTCGGCATTATGCTGACGGTCGTCAATGTTCATCGCTTCGTTTTTGTTTAGGATTTCTGTACAAGATACGCAGACGAAACGATGTGAATTGAGAAAACGCGAAAACTCTGTGCTCGGGAAATTTTCTGTTTGAAATTTATTTGTTAAATTGTGGCAGTTTATTTGTACATCCTTGGCCAAGAGTATTAGGCTCTCAGAAAAGAATAGGAAAAATCGTGTGGACTCGCTGATACCAACTTTTCACGGAAGAAGATTGGTCGAATGTGCTGTGGTCTGATGAATCAAACTCCTAGGTAAGCTTAGTTCAGATCGTCTTAAAGTATAAACAGCCATAGCTTCTTACCGTATCTTATGAAAACATTATTTTTTCTTTTCTACTGATATTTGGAACACCCGGTGTGACACTCGTGAGGCGACGGGTTGGGGATGAATATCATCCAGATCGTGTGGTACCCACTGTTAAGCTTGGAGGAGGCAGCATTATGATCAGGGGCTGCATGGCTGCTGATGGTGTCGGCGAAATGTTCGTTTGCGAGGGACGCATGGGCAGTCAAAAGAAGATAAATGTTTTAGAAGCTGTTCTTCTACCTTCGTTAACGCGCATTTTCGGCGATTCTAATTTGCTCCTTGTCACAAATCAGCGACTACGACGCGTTGGTTTAGAGATAACAACAATGTTTTGTTAGATTGGTCTGCACAGTCTCCAGATCTTAATCCCATTGAGCACTTGTGGGCTATTTTAAAACTCAAGATTAAGAAACACAGTATAACATCAAAAACTGCCATAAAGTGGGGACGAATGTGCAAAGATGGTACGCAGCACGCCTAAGAGAATTGATGCCGTTATTAAATCAAAGGGTGGACCTACTAAATATTGTAATAATGTTATTATCACTAGTTTGTGGGGTGCCTAAAACTGTTGGCCACGGCTGTATATTTTTGATATTCGAGTCATATTTTTCAGCTGTCAAGTTTGCTTGAGTGAATAAAACTTGTTTTTAAATAAAAAACATGTTATATTAGTGGTTCTTTTCAAGCTCAAGCGATGAAGAAAAGAACAAATATTTATATGTTCATTGTAGACTGTGGCGGTCGTCGTCGAATTTGTGCAACGCGAAGTGGCGGCAAGGGCACATCATCTACTGATGGAACGCTTACTCGAGAAGATTCCTTGTTCGACACTTCAGAAACTCTCTGTAAATTTGTTTGTGCATTATTGCTCCTAAAGTTGCCCTGCTGCGCATTGTTATCATTATTCACGCCAAATATTGCACGAGATGGATTTAACAGCTCTTCGAATCAATGAAAATTTGCAACAAATTCTTCAAGAGGAGTCAATACCATCTGTTTGTAAATCCCTCCACCGTTCTTCATTTTAAATTTGAAAATAAAAATGATAAAACAAGAGATGTGAATTTTTTTCATGTTTTAATACTCATTGTATTATCCATCGCCATCCCGCATCGGTAGTCCTACTGCATTAATTTTTATGGCAATAACTTGTCTTTTAAATTGTGCTGAATAAGCTTTTTAGAAACCCCTGGCTAAATGTGGCTTATTTTCTAATTCTGACACAAAAATATATCAAATTGAGCGCTTGTTAGCCGCTTTAATTTCTGTATCATCATTACGTTGAAGGAGGATCATCAGTAAGATCGCTGACGATAAGAAACGCAAGAAAACGATGGCGACAAGGAGCATACCGCAACACTGATGATGAACATATTCAGCATGAGGCCGATAATTTTTAGTATCTCTATACCTGACTTTCAAAGTGCGCACATCACAAATCGGAGGAAGAGCTCGGACGAAACTCGCTTCAGCGAAAGAGACAAAAACAAAATATGTATTACATACATACATAAATTTTGCAGGATGTTGTCGTAGCATACACAGTTACAATATTTTTAGCAATAGAGATGTGAGTGTATTCTATCCTATAACATATAATCAAATATGTATGTCTGATTTCTTCACACGCTTTTGATTTCGACATACGCTTTACAACAAGATTTCCATTGGATGTAAAAATTTTGTGTGGAATTTGAGTTTAATAAAATATTTAAATTTTGACACCAGAAGCATAAAACGCATTGGCGTAGTTACCGCTTACGCGATTATATGACGAATCAACAATAGCGCTTTATTCTTTCCTTGTTTTCGTTGTTTTTCCCCTAATTGAAAACACCAAGTGAAACCCAGTCGATCTCAACCTCATGCTTCCAACGGGATGGAGGTCTTACTCTGCTTCCAACCGGAGTCACTTTCAAATCTGGAACGCTCATTGTTAACAGGTGCTTATTGGAATTAGTAGAAAATTAAAAAGTAAAGTCCGGATGGATAAAAAATTTCTCGATGCTGTACCCGGCGGTAGAAGCAGAGGAAGGGTAAGACCTCCATTCCGTTGGAAGGACCTGGTGAGACAAAGGACTGAATGACGAGATGTTGTTAACACGACTATAATCGCGTAAGCGGTGTCAACGCCAGTAAATAATAAGTGACTTCGGAAAAGGAGTATTTAAAATAAAATTTGGCAATAAATTTGTTGAACCCAAAATATGGCTATACGTGTACTCACTTGTAAAACTCTCTTTGGCAATCCTGTTTTCTGAGAAAGCTGTTTCAAATCCTTCGCGTCCGGATTATGATTAATATTAAAGTAAGACTTCATAGTACGCAATTGGTGATGTTTAAATGATGTTCGCATTCGCTTCGTTCGAGAAGCAGACAGTTGCGATCCTCGACCGAAGTCTAAATACTCCGTATTCAAATCTACCAAAAATAGAAATTAATTATGAATACTTAGAATACTATATTATACACCATGAAACTGTGCATATACCATTTCATTTAAAAAGCATGTAGAGAAATAAAGCACACATTATTATCATAATAATTATCTATGCAGATTTCTAGATACGATTCTGAGAGAAATACAAATTTTAACCGATTTAATAAATTGTAATAAATTGACCATATATATATATATATATTTATATACATATCTAATTGGCGCTTTCTAAACGCTGAAGTGATTTGCGGCCGAGCTCCTCCTTCAATTTTGGGTTTTGGTTCTGGGTTGATGGGTTTTCAACAAATGGTGGGACAGTTTATACTAGCGTCTCCGAACGGCCGAAAGATTTTTAAAGGGCGCTTTTACCAGAAATATACTCGAAGGGGTTAATACTCCCAGCCGGGGGCTACTGCAATTAAAAAAATTATTTTCTACAACTTTCGATGTCGGTTGATGCAGGACTCAAACCATGACTTTCAATATGCCAGTACGAAGTGCTGTCCACTCGGCTATTACGGCCGTGGTGTATAGAATGGTTTAAATTTTGCGCATTATTCTCTTATTTATGTTTTTGTTAGAAAAAAAAAATTAGCGCATATTCCTTCCGTTAAAATTGTTTTATGCTGCACAAATGATGCAAGATTTGGCAAATGGGAAGTGGGTAGCCCATTTTATAGCAAAACATACTTTCAATCTCTTTCATTTTTTACACGAATTTGATTAATATAGATATATGAGGGTGTAGTAATTTACACACAGCTGAAAGTTAGTAGGATAATAAAAAAGACTATCACAAATTTAATCTAAAAAGTCCTTGGAAAGAGCTTACAGTCAAAGGTAACATTAACAGTATTTTCACAATTTTCAATGAAACGGTTAGTTTTATCACAATATTGTTTAAACATAAGTTGGAGACTACATAATTATCTGTAAAAAGTATTGAGCAGTTGATTTTTTTTTGTTTTTATGATTAATTTGGCTGGGCTTATAATTGAACCTTAAATTTATGTTAGAACGAAATAATCGGCCGTATAAAGATGCGTAAATTTGGTGTGGGTTTTAGGGCGGTGGATGGACGTCTTGTCACAAGTCGCATTAAAACAACATTTTCAAACACATCGCTGATTTGCGATAATATCCCAATGGAAAAGAAAGACGATGTGATGAAGGATGCATTTTATGAGGGCCTGCAGCAGCTAATGAACGCTGCCTTCGCCCCGTTGGTCTTTTGTAGTATTAGATTCCAGCACATGAATATACATCACGTTACCTGGCTGTCCCCGATCGAAAAGCTTATAAGCACATCGAGCAGCGTTTTAGATGTGAGTACCCACCGAGATTCAAACTTCGACTAGATCTCTATATTATCACAGCGAAAGTACGTCAAAAAACATAAGCATGTTGTGTGTAAAACTAAAGCCCACCGTCAATAATCGAATTGTGCCTTATGAGCGTGGCTTTAGACCTGGTAAATCTACCATTGACCAGAGATTCACTATGCGATAAATCTTGTAAAAGGTCGCTATGATTGATTTTAAATTCATTCAGTATAATTTCAATGGGCAATGTCTATGTGGTTTACCATTTTAAAGTAGTACGTATGTACTGCAATTTGTATGACAAATGTAAGTTTAGAATAATAATAACTAAGTCTTTTACATTTATTTACCCATATTGGCAGTAAGAGCTTCAATGTCTTTAGGTTTCCTTTTCCGAGGTCTGCCCTTTTGACGCGGCGCTTGCGTTAGTCCTGAGATAACGTGTGAGTTTGGCACAAAAATGCCACTAGGAACAATACGAGTGGGATCTGAATGTGGACTGGATGACTCATTTTGTGGTGAACCAAAGTCTGCGCAGTACGGAAATGGCGCTCCGAGTCTTGTTGACGCCGAATCACCTTCACGGGCGATACTATAGTGTGTTCTGAATGGAAAATAATTTCAGTAAATTAATTTTTTTAGATATCTAAATTTTACCTGCAGTATATGAGGGCGTCTATAATGCCATATTGATCGCCCTTAGTGAGTGGGGCGTTGCAAATAGTACAGCAGAAGCAATTCACGTGAAACACCAGATTTCTGGCTCTCATTACTAATTCCGTCGCACTAATCGATGCTCGGCACTTTGAACACCGTCTTGTCCCAAAAAAGCTGGAAAGAAATAGATGATTACTATTACTTAGAATACTTAATCCGCTGTTATGTATTTAATGTGTTTTAAAAGTAAAATATCCTTATTTAATATTATTGTATATAGAACGAAATTAATCTCTTAGAGAGACAATAAAGAACTTACGTGGGGCGAATAAAAATAAGTTAGAGATGAATTAGTTATTTTAACTGGTATAAATGTATTTGGTCTATTTTTGGCGAAAAAAAAACTTATTTGAAAAAAATTATTTATTTGGTCCTATTTTCTGTTTGGAAATTTTGCATGTTCCTTCCTTACTCCCTTCCTGGACAATTAGGATGTTAAACTGTACTGAAAAGTGCTACTTAAAACTGTACCAAAAACAAGACTTTCGAACTGATTTCTTTTGCAAACTGAGAATTTTTCCATCATTCGAAACAACCTTTTATTTGCTGCTCTATATTCACGACCTGCGTTGCAACTTTCTGAAACTTCATTGTCCCATCAAACTCAATGTACTGTTTGACCAAAATTCGATACTCAAGAAAAATTGCTCAAACTTGGAGATGAAATGAGATGACACGTATCGGCGACAACAGACCTCACAGAGCCAGATGTAATACTAAAAGACGACCTCTTAGCTATAGAAAAAGATGTATTTCTTATACAAAAAATATTGAATTAGATGATTTTTTTATGAAAATTCTGGCAACACTCTTTGGTAAAGGTTCAAAAGATATCCATAAAATGGAAAGAGGAAATACATATTGGTGAAAAATACTCACATTCATAACGTATTGTACATTGTAATCGGCCGTGTATTTAAGCCGCGCTTTTGAAAGCACATACTTACATATGAACATGTAATTTGGAAGACTAATAATCGAGCTGAATGGCTGATTAATGGTAATATGTATTTATTAATATGATTTTAATAAAGCTATCGCCTGAAGGTTTCCTATGAAGTAATCTAATGTCATATAGAGATCCCGCAATTGGATGACCAGAGTTCGAGCCCGTTACTCTTGGCATAACAGCATGCACTGCTAACTGTAACTCTCGGAACTTCTTTCTATAATTATAAAGTTATTTATGTAAAGTGAAAAACTCATTGAAATACTTGCGCTGCTCCATACCCGGGTATCATTCTGTAGGACATTTCCACACCAGTTTGTACTCTTCCACAGAGTTGTATTTTGAAGTAGTTCGTATTTAGTCACTGCAGGCTGCATATTAATCTTCAAACTGCACACATATGTGCATACATATGTATACATATACAGAAGTGAGGGATCCTCGTGAACAAGGAGGTATAATTTTATTGATTATTTAGACCGATTAAGTTGAATGATATTTACAATTGAATCACAGCAAGCCGCTCTCACACAGAAGGAACTTATCTCGCTTAGCTAGTTATTTATTTTCATTTAAATTATGGGTAAATCAAATTATAGCTTGTGTGTTGATGACTCGTAATTATTGCTGAATTCGCTACTGGTATAAGTATCGTCATGATGAGTGATACTCAGTACTATTTATTTACACTTTTTGGTGATACGAAAAAGTTCTTGTGCGTTATATGTGTACACAAATGTGCATATATACTTCAATACCACAAATATGTGTATATATTTTACTGAGTCCAATTTAGTGCACGCTACCATATTTAGCTCTGAATGAAATAAGTATGTATGTATGTATGTATGTATAGCAGCCTATAGTTGGTTGTGTTAATAATATCGAACTGTATTTTTTTGCTATAATATTTCACTGCTCAGAAGTCATAGCCGGCTAACTTGATTTACTAAATATGTTGAGTTTTTCAGGCCAAGCTTGCATGTTTTGTATATGAATGTTGTATTTGGAGATATATTTTAAAGTTAAAAATATAACTTCAATTCATTACACGTAAGAAGAAACGTAATATGTAATAGATACTTTAGTTTAAAGATTCGCTCATCGTTCCCGGCCTGCTGCATAGTGTGGAAGCATGCACGATGACAAAATCTGATGAGTCAGCGTTAGGGATTTTCCAGAGAAAGGTTTTGCGTAAGATTTCCGGTCCACTACGAGTTGGGAAAGGCGAATACCGTAGCCGATGGAATGATGAGCTGTGAATGATGTGATGATACGGCGACCTTGACATAGTTCAGTGAAACAAAAAACACTGTCTACGCTAGCTAGGCCATATGGTTCGGATAGATAAAAATACTCTAGCTTTGAAAGTTTTCGATGCAGTACCCGCCGGTGGATGCAGAGGAAGAGGAAGAACTCCACTCCGTTGGAAAGACTAGGTAGAGAAGGACCTGTCTTTGGTATTTGCAATTAGCAACCACCGAAAAGAAGAAATGGTTGCGCAATCGCATCATTACAATACAGCCCTGCATTCCATAAATTTATAAAGCAACCATAATTTGCAAACTCTGACTTTTTGGAACGCGATTCGTGCAAAAAAGTTGATTTTCGGTGAAATGGCTAAAATATGAAACAGATCAAAAAATAAGTAATGTAATGTTTGAAAAAATTATAAGCGCAAAAAATTTGATCTCCTACGTCGGCCATTTTTAAGAACTTATGCTAAAATAAAGCATCACAAACCTTAGGGATGCGTAGTTTGCTTTTGTTTGCGCATCAATAACTTCACCGATACCTTTTGGAACATGATACACCGTTAGAGTTTGCACAGTTGCATTTAGGAATGCCTGACAATGTATGGTTGCTTTGCAACTGACACTTTTTGGGACTCACTCGTAATTTGACAAGGACGAAAAAGCAGTGTTGCCTAAGTTTTTTCAAACAATCTAACCAAATTCAATTTCATGTGTTAAAAAAAAGTGTCAAAACTGACTTTGCCGGTAACAGAAAAAATAAAGCTCTTGCTTTGATTTCATTCAAACACAATCCAATTTTGTTTGAAAATCTAAGCGACCAATCGGAGTAAGCAAGTTTTACATAAACTTTCCTCCTTTCAGTAGATTGTTTATCGGCTATGAAACATGTAGAATTACATAAATAACAATAACACTTAGGAAAATACTTAAAAGCAGAAAGGATGAACTGTATAATGGTACAGATTCAAATGTAACCGCTAAAATAAACGGCTGTTGTATAACTTCCTGGCTAATTTTTACTGAATCCTGTTCGGTGAAAACTCAGTAAAATTGTACTTTGTTAGAGTCAAACTCTTACTCTTATCCTCTCAATTTCGTTATTGTTTGTACGAAATTAAACTGGTTTCAGGGTGGTCACACGACGGAAATGGTTTTTTTCACAGAAAAAATGCATGAACCGCACTTAGGTGAAGGATTTTCAAATTGTAAGGACTTGAAAGGACTTAAAAGCTTGGCGTTTTTGTTTTAAATTTTCGAATATCTTTATAAAACCGGAAAAGTAAACAGACAAATTTTTACATTGTTATTTTGTAAACAGAATACATGATGTGAAATTCTATACTTTTTTTGAGGCCAGTGAATTTATATGTTTATGTACGAGTATGCTCTTCAATGGAAGCTTAATACTTTCGAGATAAAAGTATTTATTTGAAATCTAGAACGGATTGATGAGTTATCAATGCCGTCAATGATTTCGGACAAAACAAACATATAATCAAGTAGTCTTGCTTATCTTAGCCGTTTTATTTTATGTTACTATTTTCGAGTAGCCATTTTCATAGTTTCCATCTAACTTTGTTAGAAATTCCCGTATAAATATCTAAAACAGTATGAATGTTAAGAAAACAAAGTAATTGCTTAATCTCATAAAACTGATAATTTGGAAATATGGATAAAGATCCCGAGTACGCCCAAGCTGTGGTAACAATGTATTATCGTATTAATTAGTATTATTATTTTCTATTTTTATTTTTTATTTAAAGACAATCTATTTGTATAAGGTGGAAGTAAATAACTTCGAAAAATGCCCCCAAATTGTACGAGCAGATTGACTGGAAAGAAAAGCTTGCAATATCCGAGCGGTTTGTGTTGCGTACTGTCATTATGAAGATCAGGGTTGGAGTCCTGCTTCGGTCAACATCCAAACTTATAGAAAAATTTATTTTCTTCCGATTGCATTTCTGCCATGAAATATGGGCTCCTCATAAAAATCCATCGGCCTTTCGAAGGCGGCTTAGAATAAAGTGTAGGTCCCTCCATTTAATGGAAAAAAAAGAATCAAGACAACAAGACATGAATTGAGGGAAGCCGAAAATCGCTTCAGCGGTTATAAAGCGCAAGTTATATATGTATATATAATTTTAGTTAGAGAATAATTTTATTAGGGCATTAGACATATTTCAACTTGCAGGAAGTCGCTAGTATGAGTAAACATTACTTCAAAACTGCAACCAAAAATCTGTGATTCCAATGACTTCAAAGTATAGCGAGCTGAGGAGCTGAGTCACCATTGCATGGTACAAGAAAATATAATCATAATTTAAAGACTTGTGCTTCTTTAAAATAGTTTGCTGAAATTACGAACATTTTTTTATTGCTGTATTTTAGTTTCTTTCCTATGCTATTATATACTACGAGAATGTACCTGATCTATGTACTATGTAAAATATTGTAATAAAGACTGAATCTTAATAATGAATAGAATTTTTATCGCTCATCTGTGTTCGGTTTGCCCTACAACAATAACAAAAATGCACAAGAGAGCTAGAGAGATTACCGTGCATATACTATGAAAACGTAAGTGTCAGAAGCTGATGAGAAATTCGTTCTTGTGCTATTGTATATTGGCGATAAGCGTTCCTGGCATTTGACGGTTCAAATCGTTGAGAGCGTTCTAGCAGGACATATTTCGGTGTGACTCCGTAGAAGCTGTCTCTCTTCCAGCCGTTGCCCAAAGTTCCGGACCGGCTAGGAACGGTGTCTTGTGAAAGCGTTGCTCACGTTACCAATGTGGGAGTTGAGTGTATTTTAGAAGTTAATATTTAATATTTAATCTATTAATTGTAAGTTATCACAATAAACATATGGTATAAACTATGTATATATTTAAAAATTATAAAACTGTGCGG